GAGCCACAAGAAGGGGCCCTTTTTAAAACGTCCCATTTGAGGGCCCCTCTTTGAAGTACCTCATTTGACGCATCACAGGTAGGGTGACATCAATGAAGGACATTTTGGCGTGAGCGAGTCTATCTCATGCGGATATATACTTCTAGTCATCCTCCCAAATGCGAAGTGTTAGGAAAGAGGTGTAGCTTCTTTGCGCAAGGGAACCTTTATCGTGTGTACTAGCTAGCCGTGGGTATTAAACGGGGCACCATACATCTCCACGTGTGTACGTACATAGTAAGGGGGGTGAGGGGGGCTGCCCCCTCTTCTTGGGAACTGCTTCCGAGCATATTGGCTCCAAAATTTTGTTGCAGAGCGGGAGGGGCAAACGTGTGTGAGAGCCCGTTTGGTGATTTTTCCTCCACCTGGTGCGCACGTAGCAGTAGACCACTGCGACCAGGGGGGGGAAGTAGCATCACGAGGATTTCTCAATTGCACAGGTAACCCGAGGGGGAAGTAACATCGTAACCATTTCACAATTGCACAACTGACCAGGGGAACAACATTCCAACATGGAAAATACAAACATATCCGTTCATCCCACTTTACAGTGACATCCATGAGGAGAAAAGAAGTGCAAATATAATTTAGCGTCCCTTCGCTGGTTCCCACAATTAGCACGTTTATTTTCAACTCACATGGGGAGGCTGCACAAAAGGAAAGAAAAAAAAAAGAGGAACAGGAACAGGAAGGGAAACATGTATGTATACCCTCACGGTGTAGAAGTCGAATGTGTGGACTAAAGAAAAAAAAAAAAAAAAAAAAACACCAACTGTAGCAGCAGGAGATTGGCGCTGATTGACTGACTGGAAGAGCCTTAGAATAACCCCGCGTGCATACAGGAGATGTGACGTGTATTTTATTGTGCCCCCTACCTTCTGTACAAAATATCCTGTATCGTTTGAATTCCGTGTGGTGATGCAGCCAAGCGACTTCAGCGGGGGTAGATTGGCATGCTGGGAGGAGGTTATGCTTTTTTTTTTCTCTGCAGCGAACCAGAAGTGAAAAAGAAAAACAGAAAAAAGGAAAAAAAGGGAAACAACAAAGCAGGAAGCAGCGATGAGGAAGTAGTTAACAGAAAGAAGCACTCCGCGGCAATCCGTTAAGAACCACGAAGAGTCCCTAATTCCCAGGGCGAGGTGAAACATAAAAGAAACACTTCACCCCCTACCTGTGGTCACGTTCTGCATTTTTCTTACGCTGTTCCCCCAGGAACATATTCTGCCATCGCGCAGTTGGGTTGAAGTTGCATGAGTATATTCCTTCCGCACGGTTAGCGGTAAGTGTGTTTAGTTGGCTATTTATTTTTTTTTTTTGGAACCCCCCTAAGGTGTACGATGTAAAAGGGAAGAAAGCGCGGGACGTGGCATGAGAGAGTGTAGCTTCGGATGTACTGAACTGGCCTGATCGCACATCTGAAGGTTGGTTTATTTTCCCTCTTTTTTTTTTTTTTTTTTTCTTCACCCCTTTAGTCGCGAATTTGCAGAGGAAACTTCGCGTGAGATACCGAAGAAGTACCCCCCGCTGAAGTACTCCCCGTTGTATGCACACCAGGCGAGCATGCGGGAGAGGGCTCCGTCCCTGATAGCAACATCATAAGTGGTAGCAGTGGTATAGCAGACAAGCGGGAGGTAGGGTCACCCCACATGTAAACTTGGCTGCGCAGGCCGATTCCCATACCTACCATGCAGGGCACGCGTAAAATGCAGCTGCTGGGGCAGCATCTGATGAGGAGAGTCAAATGGAGCAGCGCCGCCGTCGTGCCATACTCCACGAAAATAAGTCCAGTGGAAATCTCCAAAATTCTGGAGAAGAAATTCGAACACTTCGATTTTAAGACGTCCGCGAACGAAGTGGGATATGTGTTAAGTGTAGGGGACGGGATATGCAGAGCCTTCGGATTGAATAATGTGAAGTCATCGGAGCTGCTAGAAATCCACAACAGTGATGCATCTGCAGGGGGGGGCTCAGACGTCACGTATGGAATGGCGACAAACCTGGAATACGATAACGTCGGGGTAGTTATCTTCGGAAATGACAGAAACATAAAAGAAGGAGACATAATAAAACGGACCAACAGGATTATCGACGTGAGTGTAGGTCCTGAATTACTCGGTCGAGTCGTAGACGGGTTAGGAAAAGAGATTGATGGAGGGAAGCCCATTGAGACAAAGGAGAAGAGGAAGATAGAAATAAAGGCACCTGGAATCATTGCACGTAAGAGCGTAAACGAGTCTATCATTACGGGAATAAAGTGTATTGATAGTTTAGTCCCCATAGGAAGAGGACAGAGAGAGTTAATCATAGGGGATAGACAAACAGGCAAGACAGCCATAGCAGTGGATACCATCATTCATCAGAAAAATATTAATGAACAAGTGCCGGACAATGAGAAAGTGTACTGTATTTATGTTGCCATTGGACAGAAAAAAAGCAACATTGCAAAATTGGTGAATCTTCTAAAAAAATACGATGCGTTGAAATATACCATCATCGTGAATTCGAGCGCGTCGGATGCTTCTCCCCTTCAGTTCTTAGCTCCATACACCGGATGTGCTATGGCAGAATACTTTCGAGACAATGGGAAACATGCGCTGATTATCTTCGATGACTTGAGTAAACAGGCAGTTGCTTATAGACAACTGTCCCTCCTTCTGAGGAGACCACCAGGGAGAGAAGCCTACCCAGGGGATATCTTCTACATTCACTCGAAGCTGCTCGAGAGGTCCTCAAAACTGAACGACAGTCTGAAGGGGGGAAGTCTCACAGCGTTGCCAATCATAGAGACGCTAAACAACGATGTGTCGGCTTACATTCCCACGAATGTCATTTCGATAACAGATGGACAGATTTTTCTCGAGAGCGAACTGTTTTACAAAGGAATAATTCCAGCGATTAATGTCGGATTGAGTGTCTCTCGGATAGGAAGTAGTGCCCAATATAAGTGTATGAAGAAACTAGCTTCCTCTATGAAGTTAGAACTGGCTCAGTTCCGTGAGATCGTCGCCTTTTCTCAGTTCGGCTCAGACTTAGATGCTTCAACGAAGAAGCTCATCGAGAAGGGGAAGATCTTAACGGAGATACTAAAGCAGAAGCAATACTCCCCCGTCAGCATCAGCTACCAGATTTGCCTCATCTATGCCGCAACGAAAGATTACCTCGCTAGTCTTAGCATCGAAAAGGTGCAAGACTTTGAGAAGCGATACTTTGAGTACCTCGATAGCAACTACGCCGATGTGCTGAGGAAGATCCAGACCAACTGCGACTTGGGTGAGGTGGAGGACCAGATCAAGGAGAGCATCGAGCGCTTCCTCGAGCTGTACAAGGGGGAGGCCTGATCAGGGGAGCGGCGTGGCAGCGGCGTTGGAGAAGCGGAGCGACCAGGCTGCGGAACGATCATGCTTCCGAACGATGAAGCTGCCTAGCCTCTCTAAACGGAGAGCCCTTCCTAGGGAAGAACAAATTTATTATTAACGTGTCTTTCGGGTTGCTGACGAGTCGGACGCGTGTTCAACCATGAGAAAGGCGCGACACCCAAGGGGGGAGTAGGGGATATACCATCCGAGGAAAAGAAGAATCTCTTCTTAGAAGTCAGCATAGATCCTTGCTACTGCCCTGGCCGTGTGCGAGGCATCAAAACGTTTTATCCCTTCCACACCTCTTTGAGCTGCACTAGTATGGCATAGTACAGCGACCTCCTGCTTACCAAAAAGTTTCTCTGCACGAAATGGTATGAAAGGAGATTTTTGCAATTCTGGAGCATTTGCTGCTGAGTTGTTTCATCCAAGGGGTGGAGCTGTGCAGAGGGAGGGGATGCGGGGGACATCATCACCCCATGGGGGGTACCGCTACGTCGATCTTGTCCCCCAATTGAACTTTTCTCCAAATGCTGGCCTATTTGTGGAAGGAGACCCTTCAAACATTCCTCAAATTTTAACACGTCAAAGTTTAAGTTAAGAGTGAGTTCTGTTGAATTTGTCGTCTCAGACATAGTGGCAGTCGTTCTTGTTTGTTTTCCTCGTGGGCTGTTCGATTTGTCACTCATGGAGTCACTCTCCAGGGTGCGTATCCTCCTGGACGCAATCTTGTGTGCACTCTTCCAAAGAAACAACTCGAGAGGGAAAAAATAAGGCCAGTGGATTCTTCCAAATTTTCTCTCAACATAGCGGACGTGTTTTAACCTTACCCTTCTCGCGCGGTGACCCTGACGGATTAGCATGTGGAGGAGAGCGCACAGAAGGGGGGGGGCAGTCTCCTCGGTAAGCGGGTCGGTAAGCGGGTCGGTAATGTGCTCCCTAATCTGCTGCTTAATCTGAAACACCAGACGAAGGAGGTACAACTGCAGCGGCTTGTACACATGTCTGCACTGGGTGAAGAGGATGAATAAAAATATCTTTACCTCATCGGGGAGGGAGGCCAAGTTGTATCGAAGTAGCCACTTCGAAATGGAGAAGTAAACGGTGGAGTGGTAGAGGCCACTCAGGCTGTAGGTGACGATGAAGGTGATCATGTCGTCCAGCGTAAAGCAGTGTCTGTTCCTCCTAAGTAGGTTTTCCATCTGGGTGTAGAGGTCGTGCGTGTGGTCATCCGGATAGCGCTCCATCGGGGAAATACGCGAACCGGGTGAACCAGGACAGCCGCGTATATTGCTGCCTATATTGCTGCCTAGATTGCTGCCTAGACTGCTGGCTGAACCGGGAGAGCGCCCCCCTTTGAGCGCCAAGTAGGCGACCCGCACCTTCGCAACGAGCGACTTGTCCAGTATCGGCTTATTCCCCCCGCACCCGGTGTGCACATAGAAGTACCTACTGCTAAATTTCGCATGGTTTTTCTGCAACTTAGTCTCGAGGTGGGCCTGGACCGCTGCGCCTTTCAAAATGGACATATTAAAATGATAAAGGATGATTAGGAAGCGCTTCATCTGGAAGGGCGCGCCGTCAAGGTAGTTCGATAGCATCATCAGGAGGAAGTTGGCGCTGTTTTGTGGAGTTTTCACGCGAGGTGAAGTGGCCATTTGGCAAGTGGACTTCACCGCAGGGGGGAACGCTATGTCGGGTGTTTTTCCGAAGTTATGAGGCCCCTGCGCCGCCAGTCGTGCCTGCCTCCTCGCGGTGATAACCCCCTCATCGTCTATCCCAAACTTGCTTAGTATAATTCTGTGGAGAGTGTCGTAGTTGGGAGTATCCCCTCCTGGGAGCTGACCCTCTGGAAAGGGCGACTCCCCAATTGGAAGGCAACGCCGACTGTCCTCTTCCTCCACCATAGTGCGCACCTCCTGGTAGCGGTACGCCCTCACGGTGTTGACTATTTCGAGCAGGTTCTCCATTCGGTCAGTGGGGAATGTGTCTTCTTCACTTGGCTTCACCGTCTTAGAGTGAGGTCCTCCTGTTGCGGCTTCTCCGGTTGCTCCTGACGAGGCTGCCCTTGATGTTTCCTGTGTTGCTCCTGCTCCTGCCGCTCCCCCCCCGGCTGCACCAAACTTGCATACCGCAACGAAGATGTGGAACCAGTTGGATAAGTTTATAAGGTACACATTCTTCATGACGCAGGTGAAAATCTCGTAAAAGGTTTTTTCCACTTGGCTGAGAAGGAGCTTCTCCTTCCGATGTGGGATCACTTCCCCGTCTGAGCGGTTACTTCCCCTGTCAACATAGTGCACAAATGAGTTGCTCATATAAAGCAGACATTTCGCAAGACAGTTTAACTGCGATTTGTAGAAATGTTTTCTCCTATACTGTGCGCTGAAGTAGACGTTGTTTACGATGCGTGAGATGGTATCCATTGCTTCAAACAGGGGAGGAAGATTCTGAGCCGGATTGAGGTCAGACAGGTGAGAAACGTTAGAGAGGCTTTCTTCCTGGCTGTGCCAGTTCTTCGCTTCGTTAGTTTCTTGGCCTGGTAATATAGTAACCTCTTCCGATTGGTCAATTTGACATGGAAGGAGCGGCTTCTCCTGGAGTGGAAGCTGTCCCCTGGAGGGGGTTCTCCCCTGGGTATGCTCAAATAGGTCGTAAAATGAGGGTACCTGTTTGTCGGGCAAACTGATCTCTTGGTGGGAGGCCCACCAGCGGGTGAGTCTCCAAAGGGGGGAATCCTCTCCATAGTCAATCTTAGACATACGTTCACAACTGGAGGGTAGATTTCTTCTTCCCCTACGCAGGTCAGAAACAATTTGAGGAAGATTATCTCTGCAGAGAAGATTCTCCAGATGGGATGAACTATTGTGATGATATACCATCCGAAGAAATCTCAACAGCACCTTCACATTCTTATCTGTAACTTTGGTGTTCACCTGATACATGTGCTTCAACTGATCGTATTGACTACTTTGTAGTTTTTCGAATGGGGTGGAGAAGGAGAAGGCCATTTTCATTTTTCTCAATGTGTTACTTTCTTGTGTTGGTTTGGAGGAGAACTGGTTTTTCTTGGCTGGATCATCACACTGGAGGGCGGTCTTCACATGGGTGTCCCTGTTTGGCTGGTTCACCTCTTGCAAGTCGCAAGTAGCTTCTTCGCTGGATGCCTCCCCGCTGACACGATCGCAAATGGCACCGCCCACTCCTTGCCCCGTAATGTAGGAGGGGAAGACCTTCACTTTGGTGATCGTCCCCCTCGTATTGAAGCAATCCACATGGCTACTCACTGCTAACCCATTTAAGTGGTCTATGCAGAGGTTGTAACTCCCTAGGGTTAGGACTCTCTGTATGTATTGATACTCCTGTTTCTTCCTTAGGACATCCACATTTTCGATGAATATTCTCCTGTGCAGCTGCACTGACAGGTCGTTAAAGAGAAGGTCCAGGTAGATATTTTCTCGACGGGCACACCATTCCATGTAGTGTAGATAGTCCCATTTTAGATCCCCTTCAAGGGGAATCCTCTTTGTCTCCATCACAATTTGAAGCAGCTTCTTCTTAAGGATGTCATCTAGCCGTTCCTCCTCCGTTTTGAAGTCAGGGGTGATGGCGAAGAGGTAGGAACCTTTGGACAACAGGTTCAATATCTGTGGAAGGGTAATCTTGTGTGCATTTCTAGTTAGGAAGCGGACGTAGTTACTTCTAACATGGCAGTTCACATGGAAAAGGTTTGTCTCGTTTATCAATCTGAGACATTGGGTGAGAGTCATTTGGTCCTTATCAAGGAGGCTCCTCAAGTAGTGCACTGCTCTGGAGGCATATTTTAATTGCTGGGGGAAGAGATACAGGAAAAAGAGAAACTCCGTCTTGGACATCACATAGCAGTTGTGACTTGCGTATTTGTAGATGCAGCTCAGAAGGGTATCTCTCTGCTTCTTACTTATTATGTATTTATTTTTTCTTATGTTGTTGAGTAGCGAGTATATATTTTTCATTTTTATTTTTTGGATAAACTTCATGTAGAGGAGTTCCTCCTGGGACAGATCGTACGTGTCTCGCAGGGTCTTCTCAGACTTCCGGCACTTTCGCTCCCTCGCAGGGGCAGCGACGTTAGCGGCGTTGCCCTTGTTAGCGGTGGTTATGGCCGCTATCACCCCTGACTTCGTTGACTTCGCTGACGAGACCAACCCCCCACCCATGGGCCGCCCTGCCCCCCTCTCGAACCGCTCAATCTCCGCCTTGGTCCTCACGTACACATATTTATCCTTCTCAAAGAAGTACTTACTCGTTTTCTTTTCCTTTCCATTTAGGTCAATCCGCACGACCTTTTCATGCCTCGACAGGGCTAGGAGCTTTTCCCTGTACTCGTTTAGGGCCCCTGTCTGTTGCTTCTTCCTGTGGGTCCTGAGGGCCTGGCGCGCGCCCGCAGAGGCGCCCCTACAGCCGAGCTGCATGGGGGGCGGGTGACCATACGGCAGTGCGGTGTCGTAGTGTTGCAGTATCGCGGCAACGGAAGGACACCACTACCCCTTGTGATGATCGCTCAGATGAAACAACATCACGCAGGGAGAAAACTGTGCGCGGAAGCGGTGTGTGTATTCTCCTCAGGAAGTCAACACATACACGCGAGGATGCGCTTTCCCCCCTAAGAGAAGATCGTCTTGACGCCCCGGGCTGTACCTCTGTTGTAACGGCTGCGGTGGAGTACGTAACACTTCTCTGCGCATTAAGCCGCATCTTTTTCTCTCGCATCCACATTCGTGCTGGAAGCGTGCTTTACAGGGTGTGCCTTCAACGCACATGGGATGGGTTAGAAGCGGCTATGAGGACTCCCACCCCTAGGAAGGGGGTTCAGGGGAAACAAGTCGACCCACTTTTCCAACTGCACCTGGAACTTGCAGAAAATGTTGTCACGCTGTTTTGCGCATTTAACCATCGGACGTTGTGCCCCTAACCATAGATCGTTCCGCTTAGCGGTTGGGGCGGGTCATTCTTCACTCGATTAACGAGTCAACGCTGAAGCTGCCCCTCTTCCATTTAATTCACTATTTTAAGTGTTCTTTGCGTGGCAAAAAAAAAAAAAAGATACAGAAAAATTGGTGGGGCGCCTCCAACGAGGGGCAGCAAGGGAGAAGCGGCAAATGGAAGGCCCCAAATAAACGATGACAAAGAAACGGGGACAAGGAGAAGGTGATACAAAGCAGACTTCCAATCAGCCACGTGGCAACGGGCAGAGTCTCCCAAAAAAAAAACTCCGAAAAAAAAAGGAGAGATAATTTTCCCCTTTTACAAAAAGGAATAGAATGAGATGCTGCTTCTTGGCAGGTAGTGAAGCTCAAATGCGAAGGGGCATGAAATAAGTGCGGATTGCATTATGAAGGTGTGTTGAGCAGGTGCGATGGGGGTGTAGCAAGCCTTGTATGGGAATGGTTCTCCAGGTAGTGTAGCTTTAGGCTCTATCACTTAATATAGTTACCTCGATGTATAGTTCGTTTGAACCGTTCCTGTGAACCGTTTCCCTTGCTCTTCCCCTTCCACTACTAATCAGATGACTTTCTTTATTTTACTTATCTTGTCGAGGATGATATTTTTGTTTACCTCGTATATGTATCCCCCCAGGATGATGTTGTCAAAAAAGTAGTAAAGAAAGTGGAAGTTAAAGAGAAGGTCCAGCTCGCAGACGTTGGTGAAGAAGGTGTCTAGCAGTTGTGCCATGAAATGGATGAACTCCAAAATGTAGAGCTCGTTCTCGTTCTCGATGCAGACGACGAAGTAGAGACCTGCGCGGGGAAGCGGCGGAGTGAGGGGAGGAATGAGCTATTTGAGCAGCGGGATCAGCAGTGCCAGGAGCGGAAGGTATCGGGGGATGACCCTTTCGCGGCGAGCCAACAAAATGTCGCACAAGAGAAATTGTAGGGCTTACAACCGTCGCAGCTACAAAGGCCGCTGCCACCGGTATGTTCCTATTTTTCTGCCTACCTGCGTACAGCCTGTAGACAATTTTGAAATTCTCGTAGACGAAGATATTCGCGTAGGACCTACTCCTGTTGATTAAGATTTTGTTGATGTCTCTTTCGATCTTCTTCTGCTTGGCTTCGTTGCAGTTGATGTACCTGAGGGGGGGAGAGGTGAAGAAGTTGCAGGGCGTGAAGAAGTTGTGGCAAAGGGAGGAGCGGCATGAACTGCTTCCAATCGTGGGGCGCCGTACAGGAGGAGAAGTGCTGGACATCTGCACGGCTCGTAACGCCTCGCACTTACCATTTTGAAAACCGTGTCTTCCCCTGCCTATTCTGCAAAAGGATAAAATTCAGCATTTTGAAAAGGGAGGAGGGGGGCTATGCCAGTGGAGGGGGTTCCCAAGAGGAACAAGTGCGACTAGGTTGTGATGGTTCTGCGATTGTTAGGTGGTTTAACTTCGGGTCGCCTTCACTACGAGGCAACCTCAAGCGTAAGGAAGGTCCCACCCGGGGGGAGAGACAAACGCAATGGCGAATGGGGTAGAGGCGTAGCAACAAAGGGAGAAAGTTACTGCAGGTAAGTTTTTCCACCATCCCAAGGGGGCGATTTATAAATATGCATCGTGCGTGCGTGTGCTGGTCACGGTTAGGTAACATCGATTATGCACGCTTCACTACCATCATCATGGTAATCCTGCCCCTCGGTGAACGCTAAACCATTCGGTCCTCCTCAAAATAGTAGGTTTTTTTCTGTGCGGATTGCATCTCATTGGTGTGGGGACGGGCCAATCATGGGTTGCCTTCCTCTGTTCTGCTTCGTATTTGAAGAAAAAAAAAAAATAATTCTGATGTGATCATGCCCACAATCCACGAATGGTGTGCTTAGCCCGGTGTCTGTGTCTGTTCGGGGGAAGGTCCAACCAGGTGTCGATTAACTTCACCTGTGCGCATAAGTAAAAACAATTCGAGCCGCTTCACCTCCCCTGCGTTAAAAATTAAAAATGGGTGTAATCCTCCTACGCAAGGAGAGCAATTCTTTTTGTCACATGAATTTTCTGTTATATTGGCGGATGGCTTCGGGTTCGGCTTCACATTGGAGGAGGGCTCCTTTTGGTTAGTAAGAATGGGCGCGTATATACACATACATACACATGCATATATATAGCCTCTCTTCGCAGATTGTCGCTGTGGAAGTAACCCTACTTCCAGAGGCGGGACACTACGATGGGGAGCAGTTCTTCCGAAGTTGGGGATGCACTCGTAGGAGGTACCAAACGTGTTAGGAGCAACTTCGCACTGTTATGATAAAAACCCGCGTGTCATTGCGCCACCCTTGTGCAAAGTCAAATGGGTAAAACAAAAAAAAAAAAAGTTACGCATGAGGTTTTTTCTTTTTTGTAACTCCTCAAATGGAGGAAGAACTAAAATTTGTTCGAAACGGGAGAATTTGCGAAGCTGCGTAGGAACGCTCCAAAGGTTTATCCGCTCGCGGAATTATTTATTTATTATTTTATTTTTTTATTTTTTTTTTCTTTTATTTATTTTTTTTTTGTTTATTTTATTATTATTATTTTTTTTTCCTGCTTTCCTTTCGCTCCGAGCGCATCCCATTTGCGTGGTTCCTTTCGACAGTCCCTCCACGCGTTTTATTCTAGTCCATTGGCCAGGCCTGTCCACGTTTTGCTGCGTTTTTCTTCTTTTAACTTCTAGTGGAGCAATCTTGCTGTTTTGTCCCCCCTGGGCAATGGCCCTTCACTTCTTTTAACCCCCACGGGACAGGCCTACGGGAACCGATGCAGATCGACCAAACGACATACAGAAGAAGTTACACCAATGGAATGGAGCCATAGCTAAACTAAGGGAAAAAGAAAAAAAATAAATAAATAAAACGCCTGTACGAATTCAAAATGAGGTTCTTTACATGTCAAGTAAAAGGAAGGTGTCCCTTCACACCCAAAGGAGTTCGCTATATGTCGTCCAAAAAGATATCCAACGTATGTTGCGTTCATGAGAGCGGTGCATGCCGGGCGCGTCCAATTTGCCAATCAGTGCAGAACAGTTGAGGGTTATTTTTTGGGCACACAATGACACTGACCCCTTGGTCGTCTCACACGTATGTACCGAGTGCCCCACATGAGAAAGACGACAAATTGGCCAATTCTCCTAGCATATCAGGCTACCATATGCATATGTTACTTATCCAGTATGCTTCTCCCCCTTTTTTAGTACTACCCCCCACAGGGGCCGAGCGTTAAAGACATGGATGAGGAGTACAAGAGGTTCCTTCAGTTGAAGAGAAGAGAAAAAGTTTTACCCGACAATAAAATTACAAGCATTGATATTAATACGTTTAAAAAGTATAAGCACAAAAACAACCCCATTTTTTCCACCGAATTTAAGGTGTTCATAACTGGTTTCTTAATTTGCGGGTGGTGCGTTTTTGCAGTTTACCTGACGGTGAGGATTATGTCTCCTGACGATTTCGAATGGGTGGAAAATGAGAGGAAGAGACTGGAGGATGCCAAAAGGAAAGTTATGATAATAAAGGAAAGGGGAAAGGAGGTGGACCCCGTGTGAGGAGAGGGGAATCGTTCCCAATTTGTATTAGCCATTTGGAAAAGGAAATAAAAAAAAAAAATACAAAATAGAAAATGCGAAAACGTTGCAACAAAAAAGTGCCTGAACAGGCAAGGTTATGAAGGGTGGTATGACAAACCAAAATAAAATAGCTATTTTATTTTTTTTTTCTCCGTCTGCAATGTGCTCTTTTTTGGCTACCTACCTATGCACAACATGCAAAACACCTGAACAGTTCATATTTTTTATTTTGTTCAATTTTTTTTTGTGAAAAGAGCACTCCGTCTTTTTAGAAACCATCATGTGAGGGACTAAGCGGTGGAGGTGTGCATGCGCAACGATTTTGTCATTTTTTTGCCACTTCTCTTTCGGTGTTGGTAACGTGTGAGGCAGCGAAGGATCGTGCTTTTGTTCCACCCCATGGTGTATTTGGGGGGCAATATAATGATGATCGGCAAATCGTTAGTGACCAACGAGGAATGGAAAATGATTAGTGACGAACAATGAGTGACCATGTCTCAACAGCACAGTAAAACAACGGTTGCGCCAAAGCGACATGCCGTCCTTTCGGCCGACTGAAGAATTATGCCCATCGTCGTGCGTGCATAACGATGTTGCCCCTTCCGTGTGGGCGATCATCCCCACCAAATGAAAGAGACAAAATGTGCCCCCTCCTTTTTTCCCGAGAGTGCATTAAGTCCATACTCTCATTAACTGTTGCGCAATAGAGGTAGACATGAACGTTCCACTTGGTCGTGAAACGTTCGCTTGGTTCTATTTTTCGCGGAAACGAAACTCCTATGTGTGCTCACCTTCCCATTTGTTCCTTCCCTTTTGCTGGGAAGAATTGCTCCAAAAGATTGGAAGGGTGTGCGTGGGAAGGAATGGGGGGTTGGTTACAAAGTGACACCTAACCTGTGTTACACATTTTGGTGCGTCGGTTAAGCGGTTTTAAAATGAATGGTACTTGCGAGGAGGAAGTCTTTTTTGTTTTCGTTTTTTTTCCTTTCTTTTTTCCTTTTTTTTTCCTTTTTCTTTCCTTTTCTTTTCCTTTCTTTTTCCTTTTCTTTTCCCTTTTTTTTCGTTTCTTTTTCCTTTTCTTTTCCCTTTCTTTCCTTTCTTTTTCTCTTTGGGCATCTGATCCTTTCCAGTTGGGGGTTACTCTTTTATCGTTGATGCCCGCGGGACACAAGTACCCCTTTCGCGTGTTTGGCACTCCTTTGATCGGTCAGTTTTTGGATTTTTGGATTGTACAGTTGACACTTTTTCCGCTTTGCGAGACTCGCGGTAGAATTGTTACAGGCATTCTCGCGTGGAAGGTTGCCTCCACGCATTGATATTTTTCCACGTGTGTACGTCATGGAGAGGAAAAAAATTTCCGTGCCCCTTTGCGCTCGCGCACACGACTGTAAATAATATAATCTGGCGCCAACGTAAACGTGTGTGTGTGCTTCTTTTTTTTTTTGCTCAGCATAGTGCCGTGCAACCCACAACACTCAGTTGGTGCTGTTCTCACCTGTGGAGATGGCGTGGTTTTGCCCATTCGGAACGAAGAAAAAAAAAAAAAGAAAAAAAGAAAGCGAAGGAAAAAAGAAGGGCAAAGAAAGGAGAAAAAAAGGAAACTCAACAGGCGTGATAAACGTAACAAACAAAAAAAAAAAGAAAAAAAGAAAGCGAAGGAAAAAAGAAGGGCAAAGAAAGGAGAAAAAAAGGAAACTCAACAGGCGTGATAAACGTAACAAACGTGACAAACATGACAATCGCGCCAAACGAAACAAACTTTTTTGAACCCCCTTTGTATTACTGCGCACACCATGAAGAGGAAGGAAAAAAAAAAAAAAAACGTTGACACGAAAACACCTTGCTCACCTTATGCGTTCACACTGAAGGGGAAAAAAAAAGAAAAAAAAAGAAAAAAATCCCTTTCCGTGCAAGAAGCCTTTTTTGTACATATTGGAAAGTGCGCAATAATAATGTCCCTTTGAATTGTTGTCTTTTTTGAGTGCTAGAAAAATTTATTTCCCCCCCCCTCTCGCTTTAAGCCATTATGTTGCAGCACACGTGAGCGCTTCCTCGCTTATGTATACATGAGAGTGTTCACATGGGTTCTCCCATAGGACATCGTAACCTTGTAATTTCTGTATGTGCGTTTCTGCATATGGGATAAATTTTCTCGTCATTTTGTGAAGCGCTTTGCCCATTTGAGAAAGCCGTTTTCCCATTTTGTGAAGCGGCTTACTCATATGCTTACACCCCCTTTTGTTCATTTTTCCACCCCACCCATTTGGCCCAGCCTTTCCCGCACGTTTTAGAATTCCCCCCCCCCCTGCGCGAATGACCCGCGTTTGCGCAAAAACGATCACTTAGGGGAAGAAGCAAAGATACCTTTGCATGCGGCTGTATGTACACATGCACATACCCAGCCACCTGTGTATATGTCCACACACATTTCGCGTGCGAGTTTTCACATTTACACTTCCCGAGTGTAGGAGTTATATCCCCGCGCTCGTGAGCAGCACGGATGAGCATATTCACGTTTTTTCTTTCGTCCCCGCGGGAGCAATTCTTGCCCGTAGCGTGTCCGCGCCTTTAGCTTCTCGCCCGTTGGCCAGGTGAAGATTGCAAGCGTGCAGGGACGGAATCGGCAGAGCGGGAAAGAGGCAAATCGGCTACTTGGCCAATCGGCTAATGGGATAATCAACTAATGGGCTAATCGGCTCACTTCCCTAGATGCCTGTCTGCGTTATTGTTACCCCTTCGTGCTGACCCCCTTGCAGACACTTTTCCCACCCTATTGATCGCCGCTCCCGTCACAGCGCCCCCCTGCGCAAGCCCAGTAACCCCAGTGAAGTAACCCCATCCGAGTAACCCCATCCGTGTCAGTCCCCTTGCCGCTCACCCCATCCGTATGACCAGATGGGGTGCAACCAGAGCAAGGGTGTCCACGAGCTGCGAATGAGGAGCGGGAGGTGCGTGAAGGAACAGGTGGGGCAGTCGCCAGAAGGAAATGGAAACACATCAGACGAATTGGCAATAAACCCAGGAATGTACGTGCGAAAGAAAGAGGGAAAAATAGGAGAGTCATATTTTAAAATCAGGAAATTAGGAAGTGGAGCCTACGGAGAAGTACTCCTATGTAGAGAAAAAAATGGACACACAGAAAAGGCAATCAAAGTGATAAAAAAGTCTCAATTCGACAAGACACGATATTCAGAATGTAGAAATAAGAGTATTGAAAATGAAGAAAGTTTTAATGAAGACATATATAATGAGATATCTCTATTGAAGTCATTAGACCATCCGAACATAATAAAGCTTTTTGATGTGTTTGAGGATAAGAAATACTTTTACCTGGTGACTGAATTCTATGAAGGAGGAGAGTTATTTGAGCAAATCATTAACCGACATAAGTTCGACGAGTGTGATGCTGCTAACATTATGAAGCAAATCTTAAGTGGCATCTGCTACCTACACAAACATAATATTGTGCATAGGGATATAAAGCCCGAAAACATCCTCCTGGAAAATAAAAACAGCTTACTAAACATAAAAATAGTCGATTTTGGATTGTCCTCCTTCTTCTCCAAAGATTATAAGCTCAGGGATAGACTTGGCACAGCATATTATATCGCCCCAGAAGTATTAAAAAAAAAATATAATGAGAAGTGTGATGTATGGTCATGTGGGGTAATCATGTATATCCTCCTCTGTGGATATCCTCCCTTTGGCGGACAAAACGATCAGGACATTATTAAGAAAGTGGAGAAAGGGAAGTACTACTTTGATTTCAACGATTGGAAAAATATAAGTGATGAGGCAAAAGAGCTGATAAAACTCATGTTGACTTATGACTTCAACAAAAGGATAACTGCTAAGGAGGCTCTAAATAGTAAGTGGATTTTAAAATATGCCGATAATATCAATAAGAATGACCAGAAGACTTTGTTCGGGGCTTTGTCTAACATGAGGAAATTCGAAGGCAGTCAGAAACTCGCGCAGGCTGCCATTCTGTTTATTGGAAGCAAGCTTACCACCCTGGAGGAACGAAAGGAGCTCACGGACATATTTAAGAAACTGGACAAGAACGGAGATGGCCAGCTCGACAAGCGCGAACTCATCGAGGGCTACAACATCTTGCGCAGCGTAAGTGTAGCTGTGTGGCGGCCCAGTTGTCGGGGTCGGAAGTTCTCCTGGAGAGCTTCTACACGTGGAGCGGTGTAAGACTTAACTGCTTCTACACCCACACCACTTCTATTACCCTGCAGTTCAAGAACGAGCTAGGTGAACTGAAAGACGTCGAGGAAGAGGTAGACAACATCCTCAAGGAGGTCGACTTTGACAAGAACGGATACATCGAGTACTCAGGTATGGGGTTGTCCCTATCCGGCGAGCCAATCGCAGCGGGTTACCTTGGAGGCCTCCATTCGATGCCTTCGTCTAAGGCCCTCTTCTTACGCCATCTTCTTCCGAGGCCCTCTTCTTACGCCTTCTTTATACACCTTCCCACGCCCACTTCTCCCCCCCTGGCAGAGTTCATTTCCGTCTGCATGGACAAGCAGATTTTGTTCAGCGAGGAGCGGCTTCGGGACGCCTTCAACCTCTTCGACACGGACAAGAGTGGCAAGATCACCAAGGAGGAGTTGGCCAACGTAGGGAAGAAAAAAAGAAAAAAAAGAAAAAAGAACAGCATAACGTGATGGCACCATGTTGTGCCTACGCTGTGCCCACGATGTCCCCACACTGTGAGGATTTCCCACTGTGTGCGGCTCAACCCCATTGATAACTCCACCGTGTGTGTCATCTCGTGTGCGCCCTTCATCTTCTCCCTTCATCTTCTCCCTTCATCTTCTCCCTTCATCTACGCCACTACTCCCCCTCAGCTGTTCGGCCTGACCTCCATAAGCGAGAAAATTTGGAACGATGTCCTCGAGGAGGCGGACAAAAACAAAGACAACATGGTAAGGATGGAGTGTGCGTCAAATGGGAGAGAGAGACAACGGGGTGGTCGCTCCTTCTCTCTGTGTGCAACCCGCAGCGCCTTCACCACCGCGCCGGCTTCACCATCACGACTGCTCCTTTTTCTCCCCCAGATCGACTTTGAAGAATTCGTGTCAATGATGCACAAAATATGCGACCACAAGACGCCCTGAGGAGAGAGGGGCAAAGGTCAAACCAGGCGCGACCAAACGGGTCCCAGAAAAAATGAAAGTAAAGGCAGACCGAAGCTGATGCCATTTTAAATTCAAATTCGAATTAAAGCTTAAGAGGAAGATTGCGCGTAAGATGATTTTCCTTTATCCTTTTTTTTGTATTCTCCCTTTTGCTGTTGCTTTTACTTTCCCTTCTGCTTCCGCTTTTACCTTTGCTCCTGCTCCCCCCCAAGTTTTTAAAGCCACCGTTTCTTCCCACCTTTTATTTTTTTTAAAGTTTCCATGTCAATGATTTTTTTTTTTCCATTTTGACAAACGCAACGAATTTTATTTAACAAATGAGAAAAAAAAAAAAAGAAAAAAAAAAAATATGAAGGTGGAGTGCGCCCGGAAGAGGGACCCACCGGTCGTGTCTACAACATAGGAAGATTGGGAGTTTCACGTGATGTCTGTATGGCGCGGTCCAGTAGGACGCTGACATGATTATTTGATAGAGATTCACGGACGCGAATTCAACCATTTATGTCGAGCGAAGTCAATTCGTTAAACATACGTTGGGGGCAACCTCCCGTTAGACACAGACACACAAACAAAAAAAAGAAAAAAAAAAAAAAATACGAAGGGCAGCGGGGGGAGGCGTGTGTACCCCTCTCCCCGGTGTGCGTGGTTACAGAAAAAATGCTTCGAGCGGGGAGCTACATGTGCAGGTGGCACGCGACAACGCGACACACACGTGAAAATATAAGTGTACACACAGACATATGTCTGTATGTATATATATATGCATGTGCGCGCTGGGTGGGCTATCCCAGGTTGGCCGTCTGGTACAGCTTATTCACAGACTTGTGGAAAAAAAGGTCGTCCGAATTCGTCTTCGAAATATTGTTATTCCTGTTCTTGCAGAGTCTACAGATTTCCTCGTAAAACAAATTGTAAATGTCATTCTTGTCGATATTTTTGAAAAGCTTCATTCTGTTTTCCTTCCGGACTTTTATTTTTCTTTTTTTGGCAAAATATTTCCTCTGCCTAATATAAATGTCGGTGGTGCTGGATGAGTACTTGTATTCGATTAAATTTGGGTACCTGTTGAGTTTTCCTTCAGTTCCATTTTTCTTCCCCTTCAGAAGGTCTTGGTTTTCCTCCAGGATTCTGTTCAGCAGGTTTTCTCCATCGCGGGTGCCAGTTGGACGTGTGTCCTGATGTGTCCCCTTCTGACGTGTATCCTTCTCACGTGCGCATTTTTCACCTCCGTTGTGGGGGACTTGCCTCTCGTCACTCGACTGGAATTTCTCGTACGAACGAGTGGCATCCCTTCCGGAGCCCTCCTCCGTCTCCTCCACGAAACCGCCGTTGTGCGTGTCACAAGGGCGATCACTTCTTGCATCACTTGGCGCGTCGCTCCCCCTGTCGCTGCTCGATCCCCCACGTGACTCACCATTTGGAAACGCGCTGTTACTGTCATTGGAGCTGAAACTTTTAGAACTACCCCCTTGCTCGTTCGCGTCTAGTTGCAGATAGTGGCAGAGTAACTCTCTTTCCACTTCCTCATCGTAACTCAAGTGTGTGTATGCGAATGTCCTGTCCGTCTCGTGCACTAGGGATCTGTTTATCCTACTCACCATTTTTTCGTATGACTCATCAATGAACATGAGCTGTATGTTTTTGCGCAGCGAGTTGTGGAAAATCTGCAAGGGGTGAGGAGGAGAAGGACGTGGGGTGTATATGGACACATTCACACGTGGGGGAAGCTCCGTTAGAAGGGGGCACGCCGATAGGCGCCGACTACACACACGACGCGAACACGATGCAGACACGATGCAGAACACGATGCGGACACGATGCGGACACGATGCGGACACGTTCCTCACAGTGGCCGCTCTCCATGGCCACCCCCTTGCGCACTAACTATTTTAGCGTCGAAGCCGCACTTCTGCCAGCCGCTCTCGGAGGAAAGGCTGCCCGCGCTCCTGGAGTAGAGCTCCTCATCCTCCGTGGAGGAGTACGTGGAGTTGACGACACTTATCCGTTGCGAATTGATGAGCGAATCGAAGAAACCATCGCACGAGTATATTTTTTTTATCTCCATCAGGAAGTAGAAGGAATCGTATGATATGGCATACTCAGAGTTGTAAAAATAAATTCTGTCATTTTTTAAAATCATCACTTTTCTGTCAAACTGTTCGCTGGAATTTTTCATGTACACCTTGATGCAATATTTCTTTTCTTCCGGCGTCATTTCGAACGGGCTGCCGCTGGACCTCCCCCGCGTGAACTTCTGTTCTTCGAGGTCTCCGCTGTTTAGGCTGCTCACGTCGGATTCGCTGCTATAGCTGTGTTCGTTATAAGAGTGGCGTTCTACACCTGAGTTGTCGTCTTCGCTTTTACTCTCTCGACTGGAGGCGCTGCCCTGGGACTCCGGCACGGTGACTCCACATTGTTCGCCCTCCGACGTGCAGGAACTCGTGGCTGACTTTTTTTTTTGAGTTCCCGAATTGCTCATAATTTGGCTTTGGCTAGCTGGGCCATTTCGCCTTTCCGCCTCACTTTCCACCTGACCATGTTCATAGTTTTTTTTTCTTTTTTTTTTTTTTTCTTGTTGTTGTTCTTCTTCTTCTTGCTCTTCTGCTTTTTCTTTTGCTTTTTTCCTCCTTCTTCTTTCCTCTCTTTTCATTCCTTTTCTTTTCCGTTCCTTGACAACCCCGTCTGTGTCGACGCTGGTGGAGCTGTCATAGGGGTCCCTTCTTCTATTGTGGACCGATTTGATGGAGCTGTATTCCTGATTAGCGTCCCATCCGGAGTAGCTATCGGCATCGCTTTTCCTTTGAAGTTTCCCGAACGGATTGAGCGACTGAAATATGTTGTAAATGGCCTGTTCAAGGATGTTTTTCCTTGGATGATCTGCCAGCTGATTCGCCTCATCGCCAGCATAATACTTGGTTCGTGAAATTTGCGAGTGTCTGCTATTTGGGAGTACATAATAATCCTGTTGGCAGAATTTGGGGAGCGTCTTCTTTTCACCGCTGATTTGCTGATTTTTCAACTTGCACTCTTCGACGAAGCTGTCAAAATGGATGTCCACTCGCTTAGTCTTTATGTAGAAAAAAAAGTGTCTGTTTTTAACCGGGCAGAGTAGCAGTTCCTGCCGGGGCAATGTAAGTACATTTTTTACATACACGAGGAAGTTGATATATTTATTTGAGAAAAAATCTTTGCAATTGGCTTCACTTAGTTGGTTGTATATTTTGATGAAGCTGCAAGTGTCGTATATGAGGATGGACTGGAAATCTTCCAAATTCTTTTTACTCACTTTTTCCTTTCTTATTTTATATACATAACTTTTAATTAAATTTTTAAGCGTAACGGAGAAGAAAAGAACGAAACAAAATTTTTTTAACCTCTTTTTTAAGCAGTAGTATGTGTCATTTGAATATATTTTTTCTATGTATGAATAGAGCTTCAAATCGCTTATGCTTTTGCATGTGTGTATTTTTTTGATCACTTTTTTGAATATATTTTTGTATATTACTTCCACGAAGCTTGTTAAAGCGTTTACAATTTTTGCGTGTGAATGGGGGAATTTTCCTGTTTTCCTTTTCTTCCTCGTGCCTCTGGGAGTGTTACCTTCTTGCCGCTGCACCTTCTGCCTGTGGATCAGGTGGAACTCCTCCACTTCGCAGAGGTCCATTCGGAGCGCGGTTACGTCGGTAGTGCCTATGTCGATTGGGGCCACGTTACTTTCGTCCAATACTATTGGGCCCAATTTTCGATCTACACTGCAAATTTCCTGATCGTCCTGCCGCTTTTCACCGGGAGGGCCTAAGGACCGAGTCGACGAAGAGATCACCAAGGGGGACGACTCGTGGAGATCCCCCCTCTGCTCACCCATTTTGTGCCTCTCTTCATCTCTGTTTAGCTGATTCTCCACCCCTGAGCTGCTACCTTCCTTGTAGTGCCCGTGACCAGGAGCGCCATCATCTTTACCGTCAGCTGCACCAGATTTCCTATCGGAGTAAATAATCTTCGAGTAAATGTACAAGCTGTTCAAGAGAGCACACAAATAATCATTGAAGTAACTCTTAATGAGTAAAATAAATTTATTTTCATTTTTGTATTTATGAATGAAGAAGTGATTGTATTGCATATCAAGGATGTCAATTTTGTGTTTATGCATTCTTATAATTTGGGACGACTTTTCGCTTTCTTCATTTTGTCTGAAGGTATCATTATAGCCTTGTTCAGGTGATTCGGCATGCCCCTTTGCATACTTGGCACCCACTCTCCCCTGGTCATTTTCGTTGGATGAGCTGGTCGAATTTATCGAGTTGAACGAAAGGGACAGGGAGGAATAAAAATCGTTTGTCTTTTCCCTTTCGGTGAAGGTGTTAAAAAGGCAGAAATTTTCGAAAAATGAGAAAAAGACGAAGTTCTCGTTGATAGAATTGGTGTACTTGTAGAAGCTGTTGTGCAGTTCACTGGACTCCCTCTTATGGGAATCGTCCCCCTTGCCACTTCTCCTTCTCCGGTTGGATGTGATGTTGTTATTAATTTGGAGGTATTTAAAAATGTTTCGCGGAAGCATGTCCTGCTCTGTTATCAAATTGTACAGCAACTTGTGGAAGAAAAAAAGGAGAAATAATTTTAGCTCTTCGTACAACTTGACCAAGGGACTTATGTTTGTTTTTTTTATAATTTCGTCGTACACGTCCAGGATTTTTATAATGTCGATGAAAATGGGCAAAATCAGGAACGTTTTTTTCTTCTTGATGATTTTTATTTCGCACTCGTCTATGAGCATCCGCTTGATGATGAGGTACGTGCTGAACCTGCGATGGGAAGGGATGAGAAGCGATGGGAAGGGATGAGATGCGATTTGAAGCGGTGAGACGCAATGATCGATGATATGCTCTACCCTGGGGCTGGCGCCGCAGAAGTCATGATTCAAATCGGCCGCCATATCGCGCTTCCCTCCCGCCTTACCACAGCATGGAGTTTATTTTGCTCACATAGGACGCGCACAGCACGTATATGTTGTCAAACAGGTTTACGTTCCGGATTTCCAGCTTCTTCAGGATAATGTAAATTTTGTAAAAAAAGGTCAAAATTACCTGAACAGTTCATAAAAAAAAAAAAAGGGAAAGTAAAAAAAAATATGACTTTTTCCCTTTTGGCTAGCTAGCTTTTTTTTTTTTTTTTTTTGTTTTCCTTACCATGGTGTTGGACAGGGAAAAGTCAAAATAGTGATTATTCCAGATTGACACAAATAGGTAGAAAACCTACGGGGGGTGGGAGAAAGATGTCAAGATGGACAAGGGTGTATGTTTGGCGGTGTATGTGCAAATTTGAAGAGGTAGGCCATACAATAGATACACTCGTGCATCCGCACAAACGAGTTTCTTACCGACTCGAAGTAAATTTTGTGAATTCGCTTCTTCCTACCGTAGTGGGACGCGTTCAACTTCATCAGGAGTTTCACGCCTCGAGTTATGTAACTGTCGCAGATGTCTACAAACTGAAGGGGTGGAAAGGGGAATTAGTTTGTGAAGGTGCTCTTCTTGCAGATGCCTTTTTGTGTCAATTTTTTTCTCAGAAATGTTATTGTAGGGTGGGGCACTATTTTCGTAAGCTTTACCTTCTGAATTGGTATAATGGTGTAGGGTAAATTGGACAGGATGTTGAACAAAATGAGGAGGAAGAAATAATGGTCAATCATCTTTTTCTTTCTGTAAAGCTTCTTTAACGTGACGGAGTTCCTCCCAAATAGTTGAACGATGAATTTCTCATTTTCATTTTGAACTTGAATTTCTTCCAAGTATAGGTCGCATTCGATGGCAACCTTCGAATGGGATGGAGGGAGGAAAAGAAAAAAAAAGTGAAACAAACAGGGAGTGGATAATTAAAATGGGTTAAATCTCACATGAGGGTGAAGGGGTTGTTTCGAGAATAGACATAAACTCCTGCGCAGTGAGAAAAACGGGGTGTAAAATAGTGGGGCCCCCGCCGAAAAAAAAAGGGTAGGACAGAAAATTCAGACACGAGAATACTTCTCCTGTTGGCCGATCCCATACTAACCTTCTTAAACATCCGTACCAGGGAGCCATATGCCTTTCGAGAAGACAAGTGTCTTCTCTTCTTTTTGTTCTGACCATGTTCAGGCTTACTTTCAAAAGAACTTTTAATATAACTGGAATTTAGGAAGGAGTATATTTGGGAGAGGTACTTATTTTCGCTGCTTTCATTCTTGGTTGATTCGTTATGACTTTTTTCTTCTGTCATTTTTTTCTCCTTTCACTTTGCTTTCTTTCATTTTCTCTTCACCCCTTGTTTAAACGGAGAAGCCAAAATGGGAGAGTTCGGGTGTGCAGTACGCGGAGGGTGGGGACTCGTTTGGTTGCTCGGTCGGCCAGAAGTTGATCTTCGGTGAGCCCCTCAACGTGCCAACTTTTGGTCTCCGTAAAAGTATAGACCATGAAATTTCGTATCATCCGATATGCAAAAAGGAGAAGGAAGGGCAGAGGAAGAAGCAGAGGCACCTTCTTGCAGTTTATGCTTCTCTCCTCGAATAGCAACTCTTATGGAGAACGGGGAAAAATAATTGTTGAACAATTTTTTTTTTTTTTTTTTTGACATCGCCTTGAGGGGGTTACGTGGCAAAGGGAAGAGCACAGAAATTGCGAGCAAAAAATTGTACAACCAGAAGAACGCTTAACGAGGCCTGCATAACGGAAGTGGTCACGCGGCATGATGGCTCATCAATTTGCAGTTCGCGAGGACATGGTATAAAAAGGCGTATCTGTGCACGGAGCTTTTCCCGCGACTTGCTTTTGAGAAGAAAAAAAAAGAATAAGAAAAGGAACGCGAAAGAGAAGCATTACGAATAAGCACTAACTTTACGCAGTTGAATTAATTTCTCGAAAAAGTGCGTTTTTTTGCCTTTGTCCCATTCCCCATCACAGGGCACTGCACAACACTCTGCAAACCTACGTGCAACAGAACAAGGGTACCATTCGGGTATCCTCCATAGGACGAGACATGAGCCATTTTGCATCCGTAGTGTTTGCACTCTGGGCGAGCGAGGCAGAAGTATTCATCAAAAGAGAAAACAAATTAACCGATTCAAAGTGGGATTATTGGCGGAGTTCTCAAATGAGAATAGGAAAAAAAAAGAAAAAAAGCAACAGCATGGAATGAAAATTAATAATATGCGTGTCGCGTCACCGGGGGCAGAAACGAAATATGTGAAACTTCTACAAAGCAGAGACGTGTGTACAGAGGGTTAAGTATTCACCCATTCGGAAGCACGTAGAGTGTGGGAAGCGACTGCTTATCCCCACAGAGATGTGTCCAATTGACAGAACGGAAAAACGAATTGTCGGAGGAAGTCATGCATGGAGCATATACTCAGTCAGGTAGCACATCAAAAAAATGGAAGACATTTTTTTTTATTTCAAGATAGGCAACATGATTATTGCAGTTTTCGCAAAAAACGGCGTGATATATTTGTGATTTTTCGTCTTCCCCGTTCTTTTCACCTTCGGGGGTTTCTGCGCACTCGGGGTGGGGAAGCTCTGTTTGGTTCTCCGCTTTTCCCGCCTGGGGTGGGATATTTGGGTCGCCGTGCTGCTGGCTTCGTATGACGCTACGCCGTTTGGGATCACCTCGTTTGCCGTCGCCGCGGTTCTCCGCTGCGTTTATTTCGTGCTCGTGAATAACTCGCTTGTCGTCGATCCGCACATTTACCGCGTATAAACTTCTGTACTGGTTTACGTAGATCTCGTGCCTGCGTTGGGGAAGAAGGGGCAATGGGAGTGGAGTATAAAACACAGATAAGCGGCCCTGATGAGGGCGAAAAAAAAAACCAATTTACCTCTGACTTTGGTAGCAAACGGGAATGAAGCACCCGCAACAGCACAAACTCGAGTCGCAGTTTCTGGTGCAGAATCCTGGCAGAGAGAAAAAAAAAAAAAAAAACAGGCATGTACACGTGTGCGCACAGATCTGTATATATAGGTGCGATTATATATAGCCTTGCGTGCATTCTGAGCAACAGTGCAATTCTGTTAGGCCACAACTGGCGAAGCTTCGCCGTGGTTTAGTTGCCTTTTCGATCTTACTATATTTTTTGTTCACGTATTCTTCTTCGAAAATGTCTATGCGCTCATCATAAAATTCCAATGCCGCTTTTTCCTTTTCGCCGATGACGTCATCGTCGATGTTGTGTTCGTTAAGGTTTTGTCCGTCCAGTTTGTCTTCGTCCAGGTTTCCTTTTTCTGGGGTGGTCTTCTTTTCCTCCTGTGAATTTACACTGTGGTCAGTTTTCCCAGTTTGCCCATTTTCTGCTCGGCAGTTCCGTTTGGGCCTCTCACAGGGGAGGTTTTCACCTGGGCGAGACGCGAAAATGGGGATGGAAAAATCAGCGGGCCACAGTGATGGTAAAAATGGCGAACATGTCGTCTTACACTGAAATGGAGTAACTTTTTTTTTTTGCAAAAATGGTGAGCTAGCTAAATTGTATAAATATATGTGTGCTTTTTTTTTCCTCGTCTTCTTACCTGAATGGCTAATGTTCAAAAATGAGTTGGCAAGATTTATACCCTTCTCTTTGGCCAATTCTTTTGCGCTTTCTGGCTGCTCATTTGTTTTTATTTCGTTAATCAGAAGGCTAATCACATTATTTACCCGTTTTGAATTCATGTGGAGAGATAGGAAGTTCGGGTAAAGGAGATAGCGAGTCAGTAAAAAGTGGGTTACAGCTGGGGGACATACAAATTGAAGAAGAAAAATTATGAACGGTTCATAATTTTTTTTTTTTTTTCAAAACGGATGTTCGTTCATGCGAGTAGGGGAGGCACACACCACAGTTGGGAATGTAGACAGTCGTTCAATTTGCTTTTTGTGTCCTTTCGGGAGAGGGGGCTCATTTGAGCATTTCAGTAGGTCGGTTTGAGCAGCACCCTTTTTCACCTTTACGCGTCTGCGTTTTGCTTCCTACACTCTGCCTCCTAACTTTCGAAATGCTTTCTCTGGCAGGTGAGGCAGTTCAAGTGACAGGTCCCCCTTTCGATCACAATGCTAAACGGGGAGCGTAATTAGCACGAAATTTACTTTTCACTAAAAGTCCTACGTTTCGGGAGTGTTCTCTGGGGATAGCATTTTCGGCAGTTCTGAAAACGAGGACCAAAATGAACGATAAGGATAGTTACGTTATAAATGTTTTCTTAAAAAGCATTGTAACGGGCAGATATACGAAACGGGAGTGGTGATTGGGTTATTTTTTTAAAGCATTTTTCTTTTTTTTTTTTTGAAATTTTAAGGAGTACATGAAGGACATTTTTTTTTTAATTGGTGGGGAGAACGACATGGAATCTCCTTTTCCAAATTAAAAATGAAGCATTTTGGCTTCTTCAAAAGGAAGGTTGACAAAGCAGAGTTAATTCCGTTCAGATTTTTCATGGACCAAACAGAACTATATTTTTTTTTTCTTTTTTTCTTTTTTGGTATTATTCCCTGTATCTTCCGTCCGGTTATGGTTCCATCCGTGAAAAACGACGAACCCTTCACTTGAACGCCAAATGGAACATTTTTATTTCGTTTTTCCTCTATAATGGTTAAAAGAAGAAAACAAAAAACGAAGTTGCATCTTATGTTTTTAGAACATGAAAGGGAATAAATTACGGAGAAGTAGCAACACATTAGGGGGGTAAACAAATGCGGATTCAATGCATATACAAAATGCATCACCTCACCGCAAACGTTGGGGTGATATCGTTTTTTCTGATTGATTTTACATGTGACGGGGCTATATAGAAAAATATCCGGAAAAAAAAGGGGGTTTAAAAGGGGTTTGTTTCCAGGATCGCGCCCCCACAAACGCATATAGAATAAAATAGGCACTGGCGCTCTAACCCTAGCATCGTCGTGCATTCTTCACAATCCTGAGAAGTAATGTAGCATTTTTTACTTAGTTTTCTCCAACTATTGTGGGTTCCTCGTTTTGCCAGTGACCGTCACCCACTGCGTCGTACACAAAATTGGTACAAATAAAATTAACGCGACATCTCTGTACGCAAGTGCATATGTGCGGAGCATACTTCGGTAGAAAGCCACGAAAGAATAAATTATTTTTACTTAAACGGACTGACAAGTTAATTAGCTAATTTTTTTTGCTAATTTGAATTTTAATTCCTTTTTGCCAAATTAATTTTTACGCTTTTTTTTTTTTTTATCATTGTGACTCATCTGAACAGTTTTAAGTATCACCCCTTTCCCTGTCGTGACAAAACGAACGAAAACAACAAACCGATTCACGTAGCATTTACCCATTACGTACAAGATAAAGGCGAGGAAGAGAAGCATCGCTGAAACTTTTGCAAGCCATCTTTGCAGTTTAAATCTCAACAGGTAAGAAGGAAAGAAGCAGAGCCATCATCAACGCTGACTTTACCCGATGCTTAGGGGCGCAAATACACCTGCTTACGGCTGTGATTATCCACCAGTATGCACAATGGAAACGGTGTAGAGGGGTTATAAAGTGCCTGATGTAGATGGATGGCTGTTTTTTTTCTTCTTTTTCCTCCCCTCGACGGATAATCTGAACAGTGGCTTTTAATACTTTTGTATAAATGGGCATATGGATGAGGACCTCGAGAAGAGGCTCTATTTTTTCCGCCACCATGGGAGGAGCCAATTTACATTTCCGCTTCCCCCCACGGAACCGTTCATGCTCTTCCCTTTCCCCCATGCACCGCAGCTTTCCCCCAACAAAATGCCAAAGAAACGCAGAAACGGAGGAAGGTCCAAGCACAACCGAGGCCACGTGAACCCTTTGAGGTGCTCCAACTGTGGAAGGTGTGTTCCCAAGGACAAGGCCATTAAAAGATTCAACATCAGGAACATCGTCGACACGTCCGCGCAGAGAGATATAAAGGAGGCCTCCGTCTACTCCACATTTCAGTTACCGAAATTGTACATCAAGCAGTGCTACTGCGTTTCATGCGCTATTCACTCGCGTTTTGTGAGGGTTCGATCGAGAGAGCAAAGAAGAGTTCGAAAGGAGACATCAAAGCACATCAACCCGTCGCAGTTGTAGGCGAGAGGGGGAAGGGGTGAAGACGTCCCTTCATGGAATTTACCGTTGAGAGGTTCCCTTTCCCTTCGTTCCCCTTCTTTTTTTTTTTCTTATCCATCACTACGACTATTGCATGTACAATAGCCCAATGCACACGCATCGTTTGCGAACCGTTTAGCCAGTGTGCAAGTCTGTCTCGGAACGACGACAACTTTGTTTTCAATGCAAATTGTCGAAAAAACGTACAACATTATCAGTCCCCCTTTAGGGATGAAATAAAAAAGGAAGGTAGTTATTAACATAGCATCATTTGGGAGGTAAAGGAGGCTACAAATTGGACACCTCTCCTCCAATTCAGCGTTGCCTATGGGATGGGCGAAATTGACAGAGGGACATGTCCCCCGAAAAGTGTACTCATTTTTATTCTTAAAGTGTTTGTCAGTGCAACAATGTCGTGCTCCTTTTTATCTACTCTGTGGGAATCGCCTGAACGGTCATATTTTTTTTTTCTGACGCCTTGAAAAAAAAAAAAAAAATAGCTGCAATTCGCTAGAGCTAGCTAGCTGCTGCTTTGAAGGTGTACATACACATACACAACGGGAGGTGCACCATTTATGTTACGTACCGGGGGAACAGCTGGCTGATGCCAAGTAGGTCGCCTGCACTGTGTACCCCCTTTAAAGGCAACCACCACCCCCTCCTAGGGGAGTAGCTGCGAACGGATGTAACTCAACAAATAAAGTTTAACCTCCTCCTCCGACTGGGGAATGAACGAGATGGCTGAATTATTTTCAAAGGACATGTCAAAAATGGTGGTTAAGTAGTAAGCATTTTTTTTCAAGTCAAAACAGTAAGCGGCAATTTTTATCTGAATTTTGTCAGCATCACAGTAAATCACTTTTCCCCTAAACGATACGATAGAGTTGCAGGGAACGGGCAGAATGTATTGAATTTCGTTTAACTCGATAAGGACTGGGCGAGGAACGTAGTGCTTGATTATGGTCATGGCGTGACAGAAGGAGAGGTAAGCGAGGTATCCTCCAAAGGTGACGTTGTGGATGTTTTTAAATTCCGACGATATGAAGTTTTTCGACTCGATGTAAGAATCTTTGCAGTAGAAGTTATTCTTTCCCGTGTAAAAGGCTATATCGTTTGTGTCCAAAATGTGTCCGATGATCGGCAGGGCGTTTTTCCTCTGTGCGTCGGTTGAAGCCTCAGCTGATGCTACTCCCAACGCTCCCCCCCCGTTGGCCGCTTTTGCCTGAACATGGTCATATTCAAAAATGTCCGTAGTTTGGTACTCAGTTTTCTCATAGGTCTTTTTCTTCTCCACTGGAGTGTTTTTAAAATAATCCAGCATGAAGTTTATATCTTCCTGTCGCAGAAACTTATTTTTCACATCCTTGTGGTTAAACAAATTTTGCACATCCTTGAGGTGGCCCGCAAAGAGACTCACCTGCTCGTACTTCTCATTCTGGTGTGAATTGATCACAGGCACAACTTCCTGCGGTTTGAATGTTAAGCTGTTTATATTTACAAACGTTGTGTATATGTCGAAAATGAGATTATTCTCCTGGAAGAAGTCCAGCTTCAATATGTACGAGGTGTTCCCCGAGTGGATCGGGTAACAGTTGATGATCAGGGGCTTCTGGTCGTACAGTGAGAAACAAAACTCGTGGTGGAGTTGGCTCTTCTGGTACACCTTCAGGTTGTTAAAGAGGACGGTAACAAAATTGTACTTGTCGTTTTTTTTGTATCCTCCTATGCTGTGTCTGTACACAACGTCTGCAGCGAGCGTGTCGATTATCTCAATGATGTGTTTGTAGAAGTAGGCTCGGTCGAATTCGTTCAGAACGGGGACGTTGAATTGGATGAATGAGTTCAAGAAGTCTGCCCCTCCAGTTGCACTAACACCGCTTCTAACGCCGCCTCTAACGTCCGCGTTCGTTTCTGCGTTTGATGAGCTTTTCTCCCTCACCTTCTGGGTGGCGCCCCCTCCATGGTTATTGTCACTAGGAGAGGGTTCGCTCCCCGTAAGGGAGGCATCCCCTCCACTTAGGATATTTCCCTGTCCAACAGAGTCACTACTTGCCACCTTAATTTGGATATTCTGCGTGTCTATCTTGTACTTATGCTTCAGCATAAAAAAGGTGAGGGGACATGACTTCTCAATTGGAGTTACCTTTAAATTGTTTGCGGATAGGTGGACGTACAGTTTCTCCTTCCTCAGATTTAGCGTTTTTTCTCTGAGCGCTTTAAACATTTCATTGTTGAGCGAGTCCAACTTGAGGGGGGGTTTCCCTGATGTAGTCATTCTCCTTAGCGGTAATAAAACAGTGGTAACGTTGGAGTTTTTCAGCACTTTGATATTTTGCATGAATGTTTTTCTTTTTTTTTTTTTGTCGTATGGGTTCGCCCAGGGTCGGGTGAGATGAAAACCAATCGGGTTCGTCAATTGCGGGTACAATCGTGCGCACTTCCGGTCAAGGTTGGATGAGCTAGGGGTGGAAGAATAACTTGATCCGGTTGACGCTCCACTGCTTTGGCGTAGTAGCAAGTGCGCAATGTACGTGCCTTAATGGGCACAATTCGGGCTCGCCCTTGGTTCACAAGGGAAGCGAGGACATGGGGGAATACATACCTAGGCAGGATCCTGTCCGCCTATGCATGACTATACATCCACTATGTATATTTGGGGTCTGTCCTGTGAACTACCCATTCGATATCTCGTCTTGCCCTGTTGCAGCCTTACGATTCTAACTAGGGATGACTCTTTGCAGGGACCTATTGGTGATGCGACTTGAATGAGATTCCGGCGGGGAAACACTTCTCGGGGATGGGCCTTTCTGCATATTTCTACGCAGTATATTATATCACGTGCAGAAGAATATATGTACTAACGTTCAGTGCAGGGGTGGAAATACAAACAGTTTGTGCTTTCGTGTAGGTTATTCACATGCATATAATAAGTTTGCTGCTCCGTCTTACTATTTTCCATGCCAAATCGGGGATCGCTTATCAATCGGCTGCTTTGCACACCCCCTAGGCTTGCAACAAAGGAAAAGCGGTGATGCTTTGGTCCGTTTTGCATACTGTTTTTGATGCAACTAATTCATGAGAGGGGACAAAATAGCTAACCACATGAACAAATGTGCCTCGGTCACTGCTGCAAATACGCGGTTCAAAAGAAACGTTGTCAAGAACGAAGTTGCGCGGGATGTATGTAGGTATAAATCGGGGAACAGGAAGAAAAGAAAAAAACATTTTTAGTTTTCATCCAGCGCAGAAGTGGGTCTTAGGAGGGAATTATAGCCCTTTATGTTACTTCACGCGGGGTGCTTCTTCAGAAGGGGAATCATTCCGTCCTTTTTGGTTGATTAGCCTGGAAAGTGTTTCTTCTTTCGCCGATGGATGTGAATACGTGGCAGGGCCATAAGTTCCCTTTTCCCCACGCTTTTCTGTACGTCTTTTCGTTTGTGCCTTCTAGCAAACGACTCCGTTTGCTCGCCGGTGGTACGCGCCAAATTTGTGCAAATAAAAAAAAAAAAAAAAAAAAAAAGCACTTTGTATATCGCAACGTGTACGGTTGCTTGCCAGTTCAGAGAATTTTTAAAAGTTCAAAGGTGAGCAAAACGAGAAAAAAGGGGAAATGAACAGAAAGCATCTTAATCACCGCTGTTCGATGCAGTACTGTTTATGAATCTTCGCCCCTCGCAGCTTACACAAGATCGTACACAGATAAGCTATTCCAGAAGGGGCACGCTGTTAGTGAGGAAAAACGGAGGCACAGTGATCAGTCAGTCCATCGATACATTGAGGAAGCATACCTGAAAGAGGATTCCCCCCGTTAAGCAAGAATCAGGTGAGCGTGTGAGTGAGCACATGGGGCAAGATTCACATGCCAATGTGCCTACTTGAATGGGCTAACGGCCATATATGTGCACACATTCGCGCACACGTTAGGAGACATCCCAGAGGTGGCCATTTGGAAAGTATGCGAATTGGCCGGGGAAAAATAAAGAACCACAGTTGTGCTGGTGTAGACCGGTCGAATTGTAAAACAGGGGAAAGCTCAAATGTTTACCTTTCGATGGCTATTTCTTAATAAGTGGAGAATCAAGCTGCGCGAGCGAGGCTATAGTTGCCACGAACTTGCAGCCAGTTTTGAAGCTAAATAATAGCTACTTGACCCCAATGCACACTATTTTGTAAAATTTACCCGAACAAGAGTGAAAAAAAAAAAAAAAAAAAACAGACACCTTTTGGTTAGCTGCCCCCTTTGTGAGCCCATCTTGTCGCATTTCCGGGGCATCTCCCATATGTCCAAAGTGGTCCCTTGCGGGGGTGGAGGGGCCACCTATAAGAAAGTGCGTGTATGCTCCACTTAAGAAGGCCACCTCTGCCACATTTATTTCCCTGTTTATTTGCGACATTTTTTACCTATTTGTTGTTCCCCAGCAAAGCAGCACGATGGACAACCTGCCGTGGGTGGAGAAATACAGGCCGAAGAAGCTGGACGACATTGTGCATCAGACAAACGCGGTGGCCATGCTGAAGGAGGTGGTGCGGACGAAGAACATGCCACACTTAATCTTCCACGGGCCCCCAGGCACAGGGAAAACCTCGGCCATTAACGCTTTAGCGCATGAATTATTTGGACGAGACAACATAAGCGAACGTGTGCTGGAGTTAAACGCTTCAGATGACCGAGGGATAAATGTGGTCAGGGAAAAAATAAAAGCGTACACAAGAATAAGTATAAGTAAAAACAGAATCAACAGTGAGACGAATGAGACGTTGCCACCATGGAAGTTAGTCGTTTTGGATGAAGCAGACATGATGACAGAAGATGCACAATCCGCATTGAGAAGAATAATCGAAATTTATTCCAACGTAACGAGGTTTATATTGATATGTAATTATATTCACAAAATTTCAGACCCGATATATAGTAGGTGTTCATGTTACCGATTTCAAGGCATTCCAATTAATATAAAGAAGGAGAAGTTACTTTATATTTGCAAAAGTGAAGGGATTAACATTTTGGACGATGCTTTGGGTAAAATTATCGAGACAACTCAAGGAGATCTGAGAAGAGCAGTGTCCATTCTGCAACTGTGTTCATGTATTGACCCCATGATAACACTCGAATCTGTATTGGACGTGTCTGGTTTGCCAGCGGATGATATTATTTCGAAGATTATCGATGCATGTAAAATGAAGGACTTAAAAAATGTGGAGAAGGCTGTGCAGGATGTTATTGAGGATGGGTACGACGTTGCGTATATTTTTAAATCGCTTAATAATTACTTTGTTATGAATACAGAGTATCAGGATTCTGTAAAGAGCCAGATTCTGTTGGAGCTGTCGCGCCACGACTACCGCCTGCACAACGGGGCCACGAAGTATATTCAGCTGATGAGCTTCGCTTCGTCTGTGCACTCGTTGTTGAACGCGGTGTAGCGGGGGGGGTCATACGAAGGGGGTGAACAGAGGAGGCGTACTACACAAGGTGGACGGCACGAGTTAACGTCCCTGTGCGTGTAGCTGACTCCAGCAGCAGAGCGTGAGGCGATTCGGACGCCCACCATCCGGTCTCATTTCTCCGCTCAGTTCGCTGCGTAGTTCCTCCTTCATGGTGCTTTTTTTTTTTTTTTTTTATGTCCAAATTTTTTAATCTCACACACCTGACCGATGGCCGCTCTCCATTTAACATTCTCCTGTTAGGATAATTAAAGAGGAGGAGTTTTTTTTTATCTCGCAGTATGGGGGGCAGTTCCCGGTTGCACGTGAACCTTACAGCAAACCTCTCTGTCTGTGTGTGTTAAGACGAGGTGCGCTTATGCTTTAAACACCTCGGGGATGAGGGTGCACACTGTGAGGAAGATCTGCGTAGAATTTGGCGCACTAGGCAAGTGCCCATCCGCGTGCACATTTGGCCAATTTGACGTCGCATAAAAATGGGTCAGTTCCTGATGAGGGGATTACACGCCCATGGGAAGTGGAAAAGAAAGACAAAAACAAAGGCGAAAAGGGAGGGGTTATCTGTGGCGCCACAATAACTATATGGTGTGCAGACACTCGCCACTCGTGAGGTCTTTTTTTTTTTTTTTTTTTTTCTACTCCTGAGAACGCCAGTCGGGTTATCTGACAAGTGAGCACTTCGGAAAGGCAAGCCAGCCCACAGGAGTGCCGCAAACTCTGGAGAGGTTGCAATCTCGTTGTGGGGGACGAAGGTGCCCCCCAGTGGAAGGCACCCACGAAGGAGGGGGGAAACACTACAGATATGAATCTTTCGGGGAAGGACAAAACGAAGGCGATAAGATGATAGAGCTATGCCTTTTGGAAGGGGTCTATGCAGAGTGGTTAAGTGGAGAGTTCAGGAGGAGCTACTCTGACGAGATGGCGGCCCATGAGGGGGACAGCTACACGAAGCGGGTTACCTTTGGGGAGGATAACCATACGACCGTAACAGATTATGCGTACGGACGGGTGCGGAACAAGAACGAACTGAGGAAGCAACAAAGGAAAGTGACCCTCCTCAGCGTGAGTAGGTGTTTCAAATTAGTTAACGATGGGGTGTTCCTGCTAAAGATGGTGTATCAACTGTGTGGAAAGACGGAATGGGAAAATTTACACGATAGGCCAATACACACAGTGGCATTTATTTGGCTGCTCTGTTTGCATATCACTTCCCATTGCACTTTTCACCTTCGGAAGTATTTCATTCTGAATATGATTCCGGAGGAGCATCACGATTTGTTTAGTCTGTTTGGCGTGTTTAAGAAGGTAACATTTTTTCGAGAGGAGGACCTCCCCATTTTGTGTTTCTATAGCAGGATGGAGAAGACCTATATGTTTGTGAATAAATTTCTGGAGGACATTCCTCAGTTTGTTTTGTATCTCTTGTGTGTTTGGATGAACGGGGGAGATGATGTATTGGTTTTTTTTTTTTGTGTATGTTACTGGATTGTTTACGTTGTGATAAGTCTGGTTTATCAAGGCCTGCGTTCCCCGGTGGCTGGGGCGATGGTGCGTCTGTTCGTTTCGGCTTCCCTGGCGGAGTGAGTCACTGTGTGTGTGCGGGTGTTAATCCGTGCGGTACGGCACCATTGTTGAGTTACGTTATGATTCTTTCCCATGCATTAGGCATCCTTTTTTTCTCTCTCTCTGTAACGACTTGAATGGTTGCCCCCTTGTCCTCCCCCCGCCCGCAGGGACGCCTTCATCGAGTGTGACGCGGCGCCAACGAATAAATTCTTCTGTCTCTACGCTGGGGTCGGTAGGGGAGAGACGCAGCGTGATGGATTGCTCTTCCTTTTCTTGTCTTGCCTCATTTGTTCCTACGCTTTCTATTTTGCCATTTTTTCACTTTTCCACTCCTCCACTTTTCCATTTTTCCATTTTTTCACTTTTCCATTTCCCCCCCTTTTTTAGTTTTTTCTGTGTGGTCTCTTGTCGCCTTGGCGACGGTGACCCTCGTAGGGGCTCGCTGGACTCCACGTAATGGAAGATCGGAAAGGAATTGCCTCCAATTGTGGAAGCGAGAACTGTGCCCACTGGCACACATGTTAGCTTCGCACATGACCACGGCGGCAACCACGACGACAGCCACGTCCGTGACCGTTACAATGTCCTCTGCTTCTTCCCCTGTCCCTTCACCATCACCCCCTCCGCAGTAGTCTATGTGCAATTTGTAGCATTGTTGCTTCTGTCGATGGCTTTCCTGTTGTCCTTCTTGTATTGCCACTTTGGTGCGAAGCAAAGATTTTACCTAAACCCTTACTATTGCTTAGGTGCGGATGTGGAGTGGCAGAATGGAAATTGGGGTGGGCTCCACTGCTGTGGCAACCACTCAGTGAGAAGTGTGTATGTGGTAGTTTTTCCCCTTCTTCCTTCGTGAGAAATTCTAGGCGGTAAGGGTTTGTCGCTGCAAAGGCTTTTCTCCGTTTGGAGATAGTGCAGGGAGAAAGGTTAAGGTGAGTGTCCCCTCGTGACAGTCTCAGTTTCCTTTTCTTTCCTGGATGAGGTGTTATCCTGTGTGGGAATGGTCGAGTTCCGTTGGACTGCTGTCCCCCTGGACTGCGAGTTGCCTGCATCATGGAGAGTCACCATTTTTTTCCATTTTGTTTCGAATTTTTTTTTCATTTTCTTTCTCATCTTTTTTCGCGTTTCTTTCAAATGGGTTATATACACACAAAAAAAAAAGAAGAAAAACGTGCGGGCGTCGCGGAATGCAGCATATGTCGGAGGGAAAGGTACCCAACAGAGGAGGACGCATAATCGTAATTGTATATATGCCCATGTGCAGGCATGTACACCGGCATGCGTGTGTGAACAACCGATAATAACGGAGGGCAAGGCAATGTCTTAGGGTGAGACGCTCAAGAGGAATCGAACATAACCCCGCCCCTCATTCCTTCCACCTCTCTACGCAAGAAACAAGACGATATGAACTCACAAATATTCACTGTTCTACGTAGGCGTGAAAAAATTAAAAATCAACAAAAAATTGGGACCGCTCACTTGTGTAGAGAAAAGGTGCACTCCTGACCCACAGGGGGTGATGGCGGTGGTGGTTATGGCGATCATGGTGGTACCTCTTCTGTCAATACAAAGAAGGGAAGTCTACGTCATACCTCTTATTGTTCTCTAAAGTGTTGTTCCCCCTGTCGAATCTCTTTTCGTATAGGGTTATGTCCCTGCAGTATTCTAGGCTGTCCATGAGAAGGAGGGGGTCGCTGTACTTCTTCAATGGGTGGTTCGTTGGTACGGGGGGTACACTTTGGTTTTGCAGGTAAGCGGTACTTGGCATTGGTCCGTTGGGGCTTCCATGGGGGCTGGTAAGGGGTCTCGCGTTGGCTACATGGGGGTTCACTGTGGGCGGCGTCATCGCTGTGATGGGCACGTTGGTGATCGCTTGCCCGATCGCTTGGCCAATCGCTGTACCAATTGATGACCCAATCGGGGTAATCGTCCCCTTTGCCATACCGCATTGCGCATTTTTTCTTTTCTTCCTTTTGGGATTCCTTTTCTTCTGTCCCTTCTCTTCCGCGTTATGGGTCATGTCGTCTAGGTTTGGAAGGGGTGCATTTTTACCTCCCTCATTTGAGGAGACTACTTTGATATGTGTACCTTTAGTGTCCTTCGTGCTGGTGAGCGCACCTGCTGATGACAAATCACTGTAGTGGAGTGGCGGTGGAGGGAATCCCTCTCCCTGCCACTGGGCGGCTTTCCTCCCCTGTCCTCCATCTGGTACATTCATCTGAAGGGGGCATGCATTTTTTTGGTCCCTCCTGGGATCACTCGGTGCATCCAGAGCGCCTTCTTCATTTGTGTGTCGTGGGAATTGTTCCTCGGGCGTGCCCCCCGATTGATGGGTGCAATAGGGTTGCTGCCTGGTGGTGTGGGTCTCCCCCTTGGCATTAAACGGGGGAGCGCTTCCTTCTATTCGCCTTCCTTTAGCACTTTGTACATCGCCAGTTTTCTGGTTTCTATTTCCCCAGAGCTGCACATCACTTGTGGAGAAGTCCAATGGGGGGGTGACAGCCAACTTCGTCTTCGTCACTGTGTATGCATTTGTACTTGGTGGTAGAGCAGCACTGACATCCCCGATGTTGTCCTTTTTCTTCCTCCGACAGGTGCCTCCGCCCCCAGTAGCGGTAGAAGCAGAGCTGTTTATGTTTTCCATTCCCCCGTGAAAGAGGTCCATCTGCCTGGGAATTTCAGTAGCGATGAGGTTGTTATGGATCTTATTCGCTCCATTTGTTTCATCTGCCTTATTTGCCCCATTTGCTGCTTTCTTCCTCGAGGCACTATTGATCCGCTTCCCCACCGGTGGTTTATTTTTTTTCCAAACGTCTTGATTCATTTTGTTACTTAAGGAAGTAAAGTGATTTCCTTTGAACGTTGTCCTGACTATATTGGGAAGTTTCACTTGATTCGCCAATTGGAGAATCCTATCTCCATGTGTGATGTTGGCGAAGCTGTTGTTCTGTTTTTGGTGATTCATCGGTGCACTGCCTTGCATGGGATGACTTGGGGTGATTCCACTCTGTATCCCGGAGGCATAAAGCCCATTGTTATGCACATTGCTCTTATAGGTACCGGTGGTGAAGACTCCATCCAGGTACGTTCCGCTGTTGTAACCGATGATATTGTAACCCCCGATGTTGTAACCGCCGGGATTGTAACGACCATTGTTTCGTTGGTACTGGTTGGAAACACCAACTAGAGTGTCTTTCCCTGTGTCTCCCTTGGTGCAATTATCTGCCCTTTGCGCTTTTCCACGATGGGAGACATTCCCCCTTCCCGGTAGGCAGCTCACATTCTTGTAATGCGGGTAACAGTTGGCATTTGATTCGATGGGGAAGGGGAAGGAGGTACCCGTTTTGGAAAATCCCGACTGCTTCGGTATGTCGTACATGTAATTTGGGTAAACTGTTTGGCTGCTCGGGTAGAAGCTCGGCGGTGGAGGAGGCACATCGTTCGTCGCCTTTATGTGGCCCATATGCACACTTTTATGTGTGTAAAGGGGGGCGTCATGGTTACGAGGGGGGAGGTTGCAGAAGTTGGTCGCATAGGGGTTGGTATTCGCCGAGGCGTAAGATCCACTCATCGCGCAGGAATAGACGTTGTTAAGCGCTGTGTCGTAGGGGTTGTTTATCGGTGCGCTGTAAGGGCTGTTATGCGGTGCATCATAGGGACCTCCAACCGGCGGGGCGAAATGGCTAGCTGGTGGAGGATCCTGCACCCTCTTAGAACCGTCCCTGAACATGCTGTCATTCGGGACCCTTAAGATATTTTTCTTTTTATTAAAATTGGAAAAAATCCTCGCTCTTATTTTTCTATATTCCTTTTCTCTCTGCTCGAGTGTTTTCTGAGATGTGTCTTGGTGCCAATTTTTTCCTTCACTAGGGGCACTTCCTATGGGGTAATTTCCACCCACTGCGTATTTTTCATACTTCATTTCGTTCCTCTTAAGGAGGGTTATTTTTTTCTTTGGCCATCCGTCTGCTGGGTTCTTCGTGTTGTGGTTTGCATTGGCTAGGGTGTCCTCGTTGGTTAGAATATCGCCGCTGATTGGCATGTCCCCGCTGATTGGCACCTTTCCCCATTGTGTATCCCCCACCAGTGAGTCACTTCCGTCGTTGATGTCTCTCCCGTTAGAGTTCTCTTCCCTGGCGGGCGCTTCTCGGCTGAATGGATCCTCCCCTTTCGGGTCGTCCATCTCGTCCCAGGAGTTGTACTGGAGGCCGCTTCCACCTTTGGCCGGTTCCTTCGTGCTTTCATTCGCGGCGTCATTTCCATCCCCATGAAGGGTACTACCTTTTCTTTTTTTCTTCTTCTTCCTTTTCTTTTTTTTTTTTTCGTTCGGAAAATTTTGAGAATCGCTTGCTGGGCGTCCCACCTGGGGTGCTTCCACGTTGGCGACGGGATTGTTTTCTTTCTTGGCCACGTCCTTATTGGCCCTGGCTTGGTTCACCCGAGCTTCGTTTATTCCAGCTTCGTTTGTCCCGCCTTCACGGGTCACCCCTTCGACGTACGTTTTGGCGGAGCAGGCTGGGGAGGTGATCTTCCTGTTCTCCCCGGTTTTGGTGGCACTTGCTCCCTGTGTGTGTTTTTCACTGGTTTGTTCTTCTGCTTTCAGACTGGTGTCACTTTTAAAGGGCCCTTCTACTACAAACTGCCCGTATGTGTGTTTCCCCACAAGGGTCCCCTTCTCATGCACCATCATTAGGTTACTCCTTTCGTCTGAAAATTTACTGGTGACAAATGCAAGGGTGCCATTTTTATGTTGACCAGTTGATTTCCCTTGAGTCATCTCCTCTGGTTGTGTGTCACTCTTCGCATTGATCCCGGCTTTTGAAGAGGGGAAGGATGTTGCCATATGGCTTGTATCAGGTATCGAGATGTTCCCACTGTCGCTCGGCATGCTGATTTAGTGTTTCGGAATGCTCTTCTTCACGTGTGTATGTGTATATGTGGAGGAGTGTATACTGACGAGGAAGCCCGTGGCACAGATTCTTCTTCTCTTTTATTGTTAATGCTCTAAAAACAATTTGGGGGGGGAGCTCTAATGGGGGAAGCCTTCCGGGGGTATTTCTGCGTATTTAGGCGGACCCCCTTCTTTGAGTTATTCTTGGGGTTATTTTGGGGGGTTATTTTCAAAATGGGGGTGGCCCTTTAAACGCCCCCTGCCGCGCATCTGGCCAGTTAAATTCGCCACTGTGTGAGGATCCACACACTTGTCTTCCCCGTTTTGTCCTTCTTCAAAGTGTGCGTTGGATGGCAACCCGAGCGACGTTCATGTTCGTTTGTCGGTGCCCGGCTGGGTAACTCTACGCTTGGTGATGCGGTCAGGTCTGTCAAGAAGTTTGCGCTTTTAATGCACTTGGCTTGGGGTATTGTTAGCTGATTGGGCGGCAAATGGGAGATCCGCGCGGCGCATCAGGTGGTGCATCCGCTCTGCACGTTGACGTTGGTGATGGCGTTAACGTTAATCTTAGCGTTCATGTCGGCTTGAGATCTTCCGTTGACTTGGTTTGATTTGCCTTGGGACTTGGCGTTGACTATACTTTGAAGTTTATTTTTTATTTTCTCTTCTGCTTCCTCTTTTCCTTTCTCGAGCGAACGCGACGTTATAGGATTGGTAAAGCATTGGACGTGTTCATTTGCCGTTCGAGCGATGTTTTGTTAGGGCTACGGGGAGGGAGCTAAATGTTTGGTGTGCGGTTGGTGTATTTTACTCCGTGTGTTTTTTTTTTTCTTTTTTTTTCTTTTTTCAATCTGTCAGTGAATGTGTAACTATTCCGTGAGGGAGAGGGGGAGATGATGGGGTGTATTCTCTATACAGATTATATTTCAAGTATGACTGCATGTATACCCCTCGTTCGTGGCGCAACGTCAGGAGCGACGACGAGGGGGAAATCCGATCGATGATGTGCTGATCGACGGTGTGCTGGTCGACACTTTGGTGAGCGGCTGCTAATTACTTCGCGGCTGTGAATTGCTTCGCCGCTGCGATGTGCTTCGAAACTGTTACCCGTTTGTGCTGGCGATCCAATTAGGGCCCAGTGTGTCACGGCAAATTTGGAGCAATCTCCATGGGGGGAAAAACCCGCTCGGGAAGCATTTTCGCGATGCCTTTCCTCTTCAACACACGCAAATGAAGATTAAAAGAAAAAGAAACGAAAAAAAAAGGCGGCACGAAAAAAAATGATATTTACATAAAAAAAAAGTGAAATAATGCTTAAATGGTAATACTTTACAGGGTTGAAAAAAAAAAAAAAAAATCCCAAATGAGTTCACAATTGGGGAAGGGGGATTATCCATAAAGGAAGAATCAAAAAAAAGGGGCAAGCAAAATGCCAAGTGCTGTTCAATCCTAGTAGGGAAAAGAAAGAAAAAGAGGCGCAGCATCCAACTCGCACCTGCGTACATACGCACACCTTTTCTTCTCATCCAATTGCGTGCCGGTATATACATCTCAAGGGGCATGATTAATATTGGCGTAATTTTTTTTTTCTGTTTTTTAACCTTGTTCGGAAGGGGAAGAGGCATGCAAGGAGAAAAAAACCGAACTAATTTGTGAACAGTGAAGATCGTCTGCAACCATTAAGATGACTCAGTGAGAGCAGAGTTGAGTATTCCATTCCAAGAGGAGGAACGAAACGATGAAGGTAAAGGGACAACCCCCTATGTATGTCATGAGGGACATAACCAGCCGTCAGAAAAGAAAAACTGTCCCTTTTCTTCTTCACCCACCCCCCCTTATATGTATCGTGCGTGTTGTGATTCCCCTCTGTTCGGGCGGCATGATACACAGAGTACATCTTCGGGTACACATCCGATCGGGAGATAAAACAAAACATAAGCATCGGCTCGCCCCAGAGTGGAGAATGCCCACACATTGCGACCGGAGAAAAAAAAAAGAAAAAAAAAAGGGACTCCAATACGCGAGCTGCTACACGGCTGGGTGCCTTTACACAAATAAGTTTAACACGGTTAGCAATTTTAACAGTGTTAACAATTTTAACAGTTAAAGAATCCGCTGCTCAGCAGACCAACGTGACAAATGTGCCGAATGAATTTGTGGACCTTCCAACGGAGCGCATGCCGAGGAAGCTGTCCCCTCCTCTCCTGAATGTAAGCACTACAACAAATGAGAGGTAAAATGATGCAATATGATGGCGCAGGCATTATTTACGTTGAGACTGTCTAAGGTAAAATTCCCATTAGGGCTCAAGTCAGGTGCAAGAGCTTCTTCTCTGCGGTGCCCTTTTATGTATATACAAATGTCCGATCTGTCCAGTATTTCCTTGCTCAGTCCTTTGGTCTCATTTCCTAGGATTATAAAAATCTTCTCGTTTTTGCTGATGCGCACGTTTGCTAATTCTTGGAGGCCGTTGTTCGTGCTGGAGTCGTTTGGGGGGCAGCCTTGCGCGGGGTTAAGGGAAAGAACAGAATTGGTGGTATGCGGTGCGAAGCAACAGGGCGAAGTTGGAAGCAGTACACAGGAACATACGTAACAGTATAGAAACGTACGTAACAGTTTCTATTGTGGAACAGTCAAATGGGTGTGAGCGGAAGTCGGGGGGAAGGCCCCTCCAGGAACAACCCCTATGCAGTCTTACAGGTGGAAAGTATTTTAAATCCGCAGCTTCTTAAATCGTCCATAAAGGTGAGCTGAAAGGGGGGTGGGGCAAAAACAGCATAATGGGGGGAATAATATCAAGTCATCGCTTAAATAGTACGTCCTCTTCTCCCTTGGGTTAGGTCTCTACTTCTGTGGACGCCTCTTCCCAGGAGCGGCGTATTCTTGATTTTCTCCTCTACATGGTAAAGGCAGCAACGTGTGTAAAAGTTGTCTTCCTATAGCCCATTCGAACCATATCATTCACGTGAAAGAAATCCAAAAACTCGGAGGTGCCAACGCTGGAATGGAGAACAGGTGTGTCAATCTTCATTCCGTGTAGACCTCCTTGCAATTTTTTGTCTTCGTTTTTGTTTTTGTTTTTTTTTTTCTTTTTCTTTAAAAATATAGAGTCCCCCCCGAAGAAGAAAATCGATCTGCAGATGTTCCCGATGTTCATATTATCGTACACATCGTGGAGGCAGATGCAAATGTTTGCCTCCTTCCCCTTCTGTGGGTAGTCCTTGATGAACTGATTGGCCTTCTTCATGGTACGGTAGCTGGTCTGCATGATGATGTCGTTGTGTGGAAATCCGCCCACCAGGTCGTCCAGCTTCCTCTTGCTTGTGGCTGTTATTGGGATGTTCCGTTCCTTTAGAGTGTCAAATATGTACCGGTAGGCCTGCTTGCGCGTTTTTTTGTTCAACCGGATTTTCTCGTTCACCTGGGGAGTGAAGTGGTGGAGTGGAGTGCTAATCGTGATGTGCGAAGACACGTGTGCGTATGTAGGTTCATCCGCATGGGGGAGGACCTCAAACAGGGCAGCTTCATCACCGCTGCGTCCCATCCACGCATATAGCACGTGCTGCCTACCAGGACGCTGTGAATGGTCCGCTCGTTCTTCACCAAGACGGACGTCACTGAATTTACCCCGTACACATAATCTATGTCATTCTCTGCCTGAGCATCCAAGAATCTATTTCTTTTTATATTTAATGAAGCAGTGTCTGATTTGTCGTTACGGTGAGGGGAGGAGGACGAGTGGCTCGTCTTCGGGCGTCCGCTAGCATGGCGTGGTGGCAAGTTGGGTCGAAATTCTGGAAGGACGCCGAACGGGGTAACTTCTGCGCCACTCATGTAGAGAAGCATCAGGAAGGCAGCGTTTTTTGTTCGCATGGCCACACTGCTAAGGCGCGGTGCGAGAGCGGAGCGCATTTGTCAAGTTCTTCGGGGCGGAAGCTAGGCAGTTCGCCATCTCGAGATTTGCACCTCTGCAAGTTGGTTTCGGCAAGTTCATTGGGGCCAGTTCATTTCGGGGAGTTTATTTCTCCAAGTTGATTTATTCCTCTCACTCTTCTTCTTGTTCACGTAGGTGAGCCGTGAACAGGAGGAGAGTGGGCCAAGGGGCGGTTAACTCCCAGCGGGATGTGCCAGTTGGCTGGAAAGAAAAAAAAAACGCATACGGGTAAGTATCCTCCACGTATGTGCCTATGTACGGAGTTATGCATTTATCTATATGTGGCCTCCCCCGTGGCAAAGCTATCAGTGCGCCGCTCCAGATCGGCGACGTCTCGTCATCTTATCGTGTTGGTAAAAGCGATTCATCCTTCATTTTTTTTACAAAAAAGTTGTGGGTGACAGAAAAATGAAGAAAAAAAAAGGGGGAAGTTTAAAGAGGGTTTTTTTCACCCCCCTTTCCAAACTCTAAATGGGGTCAATAAAAAAAAAAAAAGAAGGAAAAAAAGAAGAAGATGACGATGAAGAAGGATAGCACTGGCACAAAATGCAAATGGCGCATTCGGGCAATGCTTATGCGTAGTTGTCACTGGGACAAGATCATTTGGTGTGTGAGGAGGCCCCCCCCCACTGGCGGGCTCCGTAACATGTGAGTGGTAAGAATGGGAAATGGCATTATGTCCCGGGGTGAGGAGGTACAGCGGCAGGTACGCCACGTTGCCGTCAGCCCCTAACAGAGTTCCTTTCCCCTGGACTGCGCGCCGCTTCATCGCCGAACCTTTTTGAATTTGCCCCTGCGGTAGAGGTCCTGATTCTCCTTCATCTCTGTGTCGGCCAGGCGCAGCGCCTCGATAGTTTGCTCGTGATAGAGCAGCACATCGTTTTCGTCGAGCTCGCTAAACTTGTCTATTTTTTTATTGAGCATCTTTTCAATGGCGAGGAAATTTTCCACATCATACTGCGTCACAAAGGTAATGGACTTCCCCGTGCGCCCCGCCCGAGCAGTCCTTCCCACCCTGTGGATATACTCCTTACATGAACACAGATCAAAGTTGATCACGATTTTTATATCTTTTAAGTCAAGTCCTCTAGCCCCGACTTGCGTAGAGATTAAAATGTTGTAACGGTTGCTTTTAAAAGAATTCAGACTACTGAGTCTCTGGTTTTGTGTTAACTTCCCATGGAGGCATATCGACTTGAGTCCTAAATTTCTGCAGAAAAAATTGATCTTCTGAGCTGCTGCACAGGTGTTTGCAAAGATGATAATACTCCTGGAGGAGAAGTGGAAGCACAGGCTACAGAGGTAGGTGTATTTGTACTTGAGCGGAATGAATATGTAATTTTCGATGAGGGTGCTGGCGGTACTGTATTTATTGGACACCTCTACTTTGATGGGGTTCTTTAGTGACGCCTTCTTCAATTTGGCTACACTTTTCGTCATTGTGGCAGAGAATAAGAAGGTGATTCTTTTCTCTGGAAGGATCAGCAGGAGCTTATTAATGGAGGCCTCAAAGTCGAGGGATAATAACTTGTCCGCTTCGTCAAATACGAGGTACTTTAAATTTTTTAAGTTAAAACCTTTGGTATTGTTCAGGTGGTCTAGAATCCTCCCTGGGGTACTCACAATGATATTCGGTCTCTTCGCCAGATTTAAAGACTGAGTCACTATATCGACACCTCCAAATATTGTGCATATGTTAACAAGTAGGTTTGATCCCAGGGCTTGAAAGTGCTGTGCTATTTGTATACAGAGTTCCCTTGTGGGGGAGATGACCAGGGCGAAGAAGCTCTGCCTCTTCTCTCGGAGCTCCTGCAGGATGGGTATTATGAAGCAGGCCGTTTTACCGCTGCCTGTTTCGCTGAGGCCGATAATGTCTCTCCTCTGGAAGGCGAAGGGCAGCATCTTGCGCTGGATGGCGGTCGGCTTCTTCCATCCCAGCTCGTCTATGCTCTGCAGGATTTCCTCGCAGATGTTCAGATCGCGGAAGGTGATCCCTTCGTTAGGGTGATCTTCTTCGTTCGCGTCGTTGGAGGCGTCTGTTTCGTTGGCGGCGTCCGCTTCGTTCGCGTCGTCCCCTTGGTCAGCTTGTTCTTCCTTCAGTGCCTCCTCCTGGGGTTCATCCTCCCCGCCCGTCCCATCGCGCGGCCTCTTCTTCCCCTTCACGCCCTTCCTTTTCACCTTCACCTTGGTCTTCTCCTTCACCCGATGCTCGTATTCGCTATGCATCTTCTGTATGGTCTCCTCCTCAAACATTTTGTAATTTTTGTTTAGCTTCTTGTCGAAGTTTTGGAGCACGTCGCTCGTGGTGCAGCCTTTGTGAAGCTTCATTTCTTTTCAATTAAATTTGGAACGGACGCACAAGTACAAGTACATGGCATAAGTAAGGGCGTCTGTTTTGTCCTTAATCCTCTGGAGTTTTTTTTTTTTTAAGGCACATAAGCTAGACGTACAAGCTTGGGACAACGGTATGCACAGTTAGGGGTCACCCTTTTGCATACTACAGAGGGGGAAGAAGTGGAAGGAGAGGGACGAAGAGTTGTACAATTATACGTTGGGACATGCAGAAGAAATGTCAGAGGAACGGTAGGATGACAGGGCGGTAGTTTCCTATCATTAAGTGCGACTGGGTACATAACCCCTTTGCTGCAAAAACATGTGGGAAATTTCTTTCCCATGAAAAAGTATGAAAGGCGATCTTCAAATGGAAACCGCAGATGATGGAATAGTTAACAGGAATGAAAGGAAAGAAGAAATGGAAAAGCAATTCGCACTATTTGAGCTACCACGCGTTGTAAATCACTACCTCCATTGAATGTCGCATTCTTCGCGGTGGGTAAACTCTTGCGGTGTCAAACAGGGAAAAAAAATACCGGACCCTGCAGGATGTGACGCCGACAAAGGTATTTGACATTTTATCAGGGAAGGCGAGCGACAATGCTATCGAGAAAGGAACAAAAGAGAAAAAAAAATAAATAAATAAAGTGCCCCTATTTTGTTTTAATTCATCCTCCTTCTTTACATTTCACCTTCCCCCCATCCCCTGTGTTTATCCCCTTTTTTTTATGTAAATTCTTTTCCCCCTTGACCATATACACTGCGTAGCAGCACAGGGAGAAAAAAAAAAAAGATTCACGCGAACCGGATTTAGAGATAGAAGTAACAAGAAGGAGGATTCCACCTTTGAAGAGATCTTCGCAAGAGGAAGAAACTGTTTTACAAAAAATGAAGAGAAGATAACCCCAAAGTTCGCTTCAACATCGAGAGACGTGTACCTATATACCCGTCGAGAAAGAATGCCGACTCAAAGTTGGAAGAGCCAATCCGGAACGAATCTGTACGTAGAGATAATTGCACCCTTTTTGGTAAGGCAAACTGAGAGAACGAGGAAGGAGATAAATAGCCCTTCATGTACTGTGATCCTTTGCGTTGAATATGTTTTCCACTTCCCTTATCGGGCCAAGGAATGTGTGATTGTAAAGATGGGGGGAAGTCTAACAGGGTAACTGGCCCGGTCTGGAGTGGAATACATTTGAGCATTTCGTGGAAGAGATCAACACGCGCTCATGTTGCTAGGAAAATGAGCGAAAGTTTGTTAATGGGAAAAATTGGTGAATATTTTTTTTCTTTTTTGCCTTCCCCCTTTTGCAGATCGTCCAAACGGACGTATGCCCAGTGTATACAAAAAAAAAAGAAAGGCCCCTTCTTGCATACTCGAGTGAACAAGCACACTGATAGGTTTTCTCCACATTTTGGGAAGAGTTAAACTGTGGAGCGGCACATATAGGTGAAGCTTTTTTTTATTGAAAAATGAAGAACGAAACCACGGTGGAGGAAAACCGGGACAATCCCGAGGATGGACCTTTGGGACTCCTGTCGGAGTGTGTCAAAGACAACGCGCAGGTTTTAATTAACTGCCGCAATAATAGGAAACTTTTGGCGCGGGTGAGTAAAGGAGAACAGGAAGGAAATGCGTCTCCACCTGAGCGCCCCTTTCGCCCATTTTGTGTGTGCAAATAATGAAGTCTACCCAATTTGTTTGACCTGTTCATACCATTTGGTCGATCTGTTGGCTCACTGGCGGAGGCCACATTTGAGTGTGCTCCCATACGTATGAAAAAAGCACCTCTGATTGACTCATCTGCAAATATACCATTTTACGAATTCGCTTCCTGCAGGTTAAAGCGTTTGATAGGCACTGTAATTTGTTGCTGACTGAGGTTCGAGAAATTTGGGTGGAGGTGGTGAAAGACAAAAAGAAGAAGAAAAAAATTAACAAGGACAGATACATCAGCATACTCTTCTTAAGGGGAGACTCCGTTATTTTAATTTTGAGAAATCCAAAGTGAAGCTTAAGAAGGGAGAGCAAGTTAGCAACGGTGATGTGACGAAAAGGTGTACCAACCAAAA